AGATTTCCTCGTCAAGGTCACCGTTAAGGAATGCCGTCTTGACATCCATAGACTCAATCTCCCAATCTTCAAGTGCTGCATGTGCCAATAGATAGCGTACGGATTCAAACCGTGCAACAGGAGAAAAAGTCTCGGTATAGTCTTGACCCCATACTTGGGTAAATCCCTTTGCAACAACACGCGCTTTGTAGCGACCATCGTGTTTAATCGCATAAACCCACCGGCACTTGATAACCTTTCGGTTTTTAGGCCGTGGAACTAGAACCCAAGTCTTGTTGTCCATAAGTGACTTGTATTCAGAACCTTCAGATGCATGCCATTTAGCCTTGTCTTGAGACTCCATAGCTTCCCTGTGACTCTGGGGAACGCCATGGTTTGCTTCTGCTAGCATCCGCACAAACATGAGAGTTTCAGCCTCAGATTGTTGACGGCCTTGAGCATCGGTACGACGATCAATATTCGCAGGTGGCTCGTCACCATAGGCATTGTCCTTGTTCCTCTTAGGATTTTGTCCAGCACCTTGACGACGTGGACGTTCGTACTGAGGTTGCGGAGGAGGTACAGGATCAGGTTGCGGTTGTGGAATGTCTCCCACTGGCTCTGGATGGTCTTCAGGTTCAGGTTCATGTTCCGGGATAGGAACGGGAATAGGTAAATCCTCAGAATCAGAATCCTCCGAGTTCGCATCCTCAGGAGGTTCATCAAACGGCTTATCCAGGGATTTCGGATTATTGCCTAAATCTTTACGTGCAGGAAATGTCTCTTCATCGAAGGTCACATCACGAGACACAACGATACTTCGAGTGGCTGGGTTCCAGAAACGATACCCTTTGGAACCTAACTCATAGCCAACAAAGATCATCTCGACAGCCTTCTTGTCGAGCTTCCCAGCTCTTTGTTCCTTCTGCACATGCACATATGCCTTGCACCCAAATACCCTAAAATACGAAATGTCCGGGACTGTGCTATCCCAGAGGGTAATGGGGCATTGCCAGTTAAGGCGTCGCATTGGTTGCCGATTATAAATGTGAACCGCAGCGTCAACAGCCAATTGCCAGAAACCATGGCTTAGTCCAGCATGATGAAGCATAGACATAGCCTTCTCGACAATGGTCCGATTCCAGCGCTCAGCTCTCCCATTCTGTTGAGGAGAGTATGGCATCGTCTTCTGATGTTCAATGCCAAATTTGCGCAAATGTTCGGTAAATTCTGCAGAGGTATATTCTCCCCCTCGATCCGAGCGTACAGCTTTGATTTTCCCGTTGGTTTGGTTCTCAGCCCATGCCTTGAAATCATCGAACGCTTGGGTCGAATCATTCTTATGTTTGAGGAAATAGGCGCGGCCAAGACCGGAGTAGTCGTCAAGAAAGCTGATGAAGTAGCGCCATCCACCAATAGCGGTGGTACGCATAGGACCATCTTCGTCGGTATGAACAATTTCAAGAGGTTTTGAAGCTCTCTTGTCCGACGTGGGAAATGGAGCACGATGAGACTTGCCCCATTGACAACCTGCACAAGGAGACTTGTCCTTGTCACCGATAGAATCCACACCCTTGGTGTGCTTGGGTAGTTGACGGATAACTTCTTCAGACGAATGTCCGAAGCGTTGATGCCAAAGGCGAAAATTTGACTTGTCCGCAGACTTAGCCAATTGCGGTTTCATAATTTCCATGTGCAACATATAGAGATTGTTGAAGGGCGTGTGATGCGCCTCCATGATCTTGTTACCACGGATTCGGTCAGAACCATGCAAAATAGGTTGGTCGAAAATGACCATACGGCCTCCACCTTGAACAAGGGTGAAACCTGAACGTTCAATAACTCCAGTTGAAAATAGGCGACTAGACGCGGCAGGGATATATGCGACATTGGTGATAGTCGACACAATATGTTTCCCTTCAACATGCACAACGCCTTTGATAGTGCCTTCACCGTAAGCTGCAATCTTACTCTTGCCGGCTGTGCTAAAAATCATGGGCTCCTCGTAAGGAGTGTAATCCCAAAAATCAGCCATGTCGTTGGTGATCGTCTTGGATGCACCAGAATCCATAATCCAATCAGTCGTTCTTCCTGACGCGGTGTTAGCCGCAGTATACCAAGAAGCAGTCATAGTATTCGCAGACGACGAGGAGGATTCTACAGTTACAACATTCGAAGAGTCCGACGCAGATGCAGTGTTAGAAGTACCAGAACTAGATTGACCATTTCCTCCGCTCTTTCCCTTTCCTTTGCCCTTGCCCTTGCCCTTGTTGTTCTTCCCCTTTCCGCCACCTTTATTCTGAGGGCGGAGATGCGGGTACTTGGTCCAACAATTCTCGCTACCATGAGCCCCACCGCAGTGATCGCAGGGGTCCTTGGATTTATGCTTGACCTGGGACGTCTTAGACGCAGACTGTCCCATACCGGACCGGCGAAGTGATTCCTCGGCAAGAATTTTGCTCTGGACCGAGTCGACCTTTAGATCTTTGAGGGTCTGCGTTGCTAGGAGCGCAGAGATCATCGACTGGTATGACTCTGGCAGCTTTGACAGAAGGAGAAGAGCCTGAGTCGAGTCACCGAGCGTAATTCCGCCACCACTAATCTCCTTGAGCCGGGTAACCAGCTTGTTGATCTGATCCTGCATTGGCTTGGAGTCAGACATTTCCGGAGATTTGATTAACGACTGGAAGAGAGACCAGACGTATGCCGTGTCGGGGGTGCCAAAAGCGGTTTTGAGCGAGTTCCACATGTCCTTCGCATCCTTGAGATCACCGGTGTCTTTCTCGAGCAGATGATGCATCGAGCGATCGGTTCTCATAAATAGAACACCCTGGGCACGGGCATTCTGAGTGGCGAAGTCCGCTGCGGGTGTGCCAGTTGCAATAACGGCGGGCCAGGCTTGGATAAAAACCAAATAGCCGCGCATGGCGGCTGACCAATCAGCGTATTGGGACGCTGAGGAAAGCTTGGGGACATTGTCAGGCTTGACGTCACCCATGGTTGCGGATAGGAGGATAAATTCGTCTTGTGAGACGGATGGTAGTTCTGGAGTAAAAACTTCGAAGGGTAATTCCTCGAAGAATGGAGATTGAGGTCTCGACTCAGGGAGCGGGACTAGGTGTTCAGGATATGGAGGTAATTCCGAAAATTCACTAGCAAATAGGAAATTCTCCTGCCAAGGAGCGACCGATATTCCAGTTGAAAATCCTTCTGGAACTGGACCTAGAGGTTGATCGTAGCGATGTGGGCAACTAGCGTCGTCGCAGTTAATCCACTGATCTTCTTCGACGTCAAAATGATAATCGAAGTTCTCCTCGTAGTCGTAGAGATGATGATGGTCGGTGCAATCGTACGGTGGAATTACTCCGTCCGATGCTTCACTATTTGAGTCTCGGTCAAATGTCTCTTCTTGAGACGAAGCCACAGTGTGATGCTTAAATTCTAGGGACGAAGATATACAGAAAAAATGCGACTACAATCGCTTATCTACCCAGTACAAGTAGTTGTTCTTGTACAAGTCCCCTACGTCCTTGATAATGCGGCCGAAATTCTGGCTAAGATTTATGAAGGAAATCTTCGCAATCAGCTCGCAGACAGAACAGATGTCGTTCAATTCGACTGCAGACCACGTGGTTCCTTCCTCCTCGATATTCGTCAGCACCCAGTTGAAACGCCTGCCAAAATCGTCCAAGTTATCCAACAAGGGAAGACGGGCGTAGAGGCGGTTACGGTGGCGATAGAGGGGCTGAAGGCGCTTCTGGACGGCAAGGAGACGCTTGCACAGGATCTCGACTTTGTCAGCGGTGGACTTCTTGCGGAAGTCGGACAGGAAGATAGGCTTTAGAGCCGTGGGAACGATGGGAGTTTCTCCGCTAAGACGCTCAATGAGCGAAGCCTTGGTCTCGGCAGCAGCAGCGCTAGCGGCACGAGCAGCAGCGAGTTCGGCTCGGCGAGTCTCGGCGAGAGCTTCGGCAACGTCCGCTTTCTTCTGCAAATACAAGAGGTGCTGCTCCGGCGAGGTGCGGCAGGACTCCTTGGGAGGAATGGACGTGTCTACGCGGCCAGAGGCTTGGCGGCGGCGACGAGGGGTAGGAGCGAGGATGATGTCGATCTGGCGACGGACGGGTAGATGACCGTACAAATGCCGATGACGTACGGCGATGACGTTAGAGTCGTCTTCGTCAACGTCGTTTCTCTCACGACGAGACGGATGATAAATTTCGTAATTGCCTTTTCGGGCTGCCCTAGAGATGCGCTCAGACAAGGCCTTCGGCACTATGTCACGCAGCGACTTAAAAATAGTCCAACAAAGGACAAAAATTGCCAACTCACTCTTTCAAGAGTTGGGCTTTGGAGCGCGCAAAGAGGGGTGCAGGTGATTAAAGAATCAGAGCGCAGGGCTCATAACCTGTTGAAGAAAGAGTTTTTAGGCTTAGTAAGCCCAGTGGCAGTGAAGGACTAAAGAGTGAGTGAACAGACCAGTCCCAAAGGGAAGATCCTATGCTGGCAGGCAGAGGAGAGGACGAAGGATCGTTTTCATTACAGGGCAAACCAGCCCAGTATATATACACATTTGATACAGGTCACATGCTGTATCAGTGGTTCATCAGTAAGCACTAAGTCCGAGGTTTTGGGGATATGAGTAAGCTGGTAAGCAGCATGAGTAAGCCAAAACTCGGAGTTTGATGTGGAGAGACATATGAAACGTGATGGAACATCAGGAATAATATGAGACATGATGGAACATCAAAGAGTGATATAGGACGTGATGGGACATCAAGGAATGATATGGAACGTCATGGAACATCAAGGAATGTCGTGGAATATCATGGAATGATCCGGACTAAAGTCACATGACGTAATCTAGGCAAAGTCCATCAAAGAACGTATGTAATCTGACATCGCAGAACATAAGTCCATATCCGTACATAACTGATAAGATAAGAACACTGAAAACTCGGAAGTTCAACATATATACCGGGCTGGATACGCCCTAGAATGTAACGGTCTCTCCTCTCGTCTTAACGCCTCTGAGTCTTCCCTCTCAGCTCTTAAGAGATCTGTTGTAAGTCCTCCTTTACTACAGTGCTCTTTGTGCTCCTGTAGTATTCTTTTGTAGCCTTGCCTCAGGCTAGCCACCACACTCCTTGTTCATCAATATGATCGTCGTGCATGAAAGTCAACAGTCGAGGTATCTCGACGTTCAACCGCTCGATCTCCTCTTCTGCGCGCTTCATGTCAAACAGTATGTTCATCGCTTCACGGTTCTTGCGATCAGCCCACGGTTCTTTGCGAATGTCGGTCCGTGCATCGCGAAGAAGGTCGAATTCAGCAAGGGACACCATCTCGAGAACTTCGTCCCACGACAGCGAAGGCCGCGGCGGAACCAGCGCAGCTGCGTGCTTGTTGTACCGCGTCAGTGCCTTCTTGATCGCTTCTGCACGCGCCTTAAGCCCTTTGCTGATCTTCTCGCGAAGTTTGTAACCTAACAAGCGAGGTCAGTCTACGGCGGTCATGATTCGATGGGTGCACTCACCTACACCGCTCATTCCTAACTTTGTCAGCTCGAACAAGCGTTGAACGATGAGCCGCTCAAGGTTGTCGACGGCTAAGTGATAATTGCGCATAGCGAGATCCTCTTCGGCCTGTGCATACTCAGGCGAACCGGTGACCCAACGGTGTTCGAGCTCGAGCTCATCTTCAAACGCCTGGCACTCATCGTCCACGAGTTGATACTGACGCGCTGCGATCGTTCGGTTCCGTCTGAGGGCTGCGATCTCCTTCCTCTGGTACCCATGATACACTATGTAGAAGTCTTCCTTCGCCGCCTCTTGCTCTGTGTGGATTTTGCGAAGTCTGCAACTTGTGAGTAGTCATCGAGCATAGAGTCGGCATCGCTTACCCTGCCGCTTCCAGACGCTTCAAGGCCGCCATGTAATCGGCCTTGCGCGAGACCTCCGGCGGTTCTTTCTTGCGACTGCGCAGGTACTCTCGCTCCTCGTCGAGAAAGTGTTCAAGGTCCAGGGTCGTGACATGTAGCTTCGAGCAGAGAACTTCGAGCGCCTCGGCACTCTCCTTGCGGATGGCGAGCGCCTGTCGGTAATTATTGTATATGAAATTGCCTGTCCAATTCGTAAGTGAGCGTTCACGTCGAATGGAGATGTCACAAGCTTACCCGATTCTGCGTGCTTCGAGTCATCCCAGTGACTGAAGAATTCTACAATGGCCTGATGGCGATGGAAGGCGGATGCGAGACGGGTGCCTGATGCTAAGTGATTGGATGCTGAGAAGAGTCGCTCGCAGCCTTTGAAGTCTTCTTTCCCTGCGCCGATGAAGTATCGGGGATGCCAGTGAACTTGGCACCCCCGGTTGTGACCATGACCGTGGAAGGCTGGGACAATACCTGTGAGGCGCATATCCTTTGCGCGTTGTGCGAGCGAACTGTTGGCCACGGTACGTGCAAACGCGCACGCGATGTCGTATCCGACTAGGATGTCACTGCCGTACACATTCATCAATCTGTCGATGATTGCCAGAGGGTATTTCATCCTGTGATAGCGCTGTCAGTCATCGTTGCAAAAGGAAATGGAAAGTACTCACAGTTCTCCAGAGCGTATCATATCGCAGATGGCGAGGAGGTGGCCATGTCGGCATACGCAGACGAAGACCCCAGTAACAGCAAAGAGCGCGAACATTTTCTTACGAGATTCAGGCCCCGCGTTGCGCCACCGTTCCACGCAAGTGGTGACGTCGACCTGTGAGTTCTCGTCACCTTCTTCAGGGCTGTCAAGGCAGCCGAATTCGTTGTCATAGTTGTCTTCATCATCGTGAGAGTCCTGCACTGCCGTTCCATCAGCACGCGGTATGGCCGAAGGAGTCCCAATCGGGGCAGGCACACATGTGCTGTCCGACGGAGCACTCGCACTAGAGCTATCAGAGATGCTAGGACCACTGGCAGAGGTGGCGGAAGGTGCGGTGGCAGAGACGGCGGCAGAGGCGGAGATAGGTGCGGCGGCAGAGGCGGCAGTAGGCGCGGCGGCAGAGGCGGTGGCAGAGGCGGCGGTAGGCGCGGCGGCAGAGGCGGTGGCAGAGGCGGCGGCAGAGGCAGAGGAGCGCTGCTGGAGCGATGAGCCACCCTAGGAATCACTAGGAATGAAATATAAACTTACCGAGCGAGGAACCTCATCCTTCCAGCGATTGACTTCCTCCGTCGTCAACCAGAGTCGTGAGAGGCCGACGTGATCGTCTCGTAATGTCTTGCCTGCGCGGAAGACGTCGTCAACGAGCTTCAGTGACTGATTGCCATCCATGGCCACCAGAATCGAGTATTTGAGTGACGGCTCGTCCAGGAGCCTATACAAGCAGGACGCGCAGGCGTTCAGCATCGGCCAGTCAGTGGCATCGCGCCCGAGTACAGAGTCAACACGTGAATCGACGTGATGCAGTATCTCGAGGTAGAGGTCGTACGCGATGCTGAATTGATTGACTAGGGTGCGATTGAGCGGAACCTACAGGAGGTGGGTGAGCGGGGGGCGTAGCGATAGCTTGAGGGACCACTTACCCTGTGTAGATGGCAGAGCGTCTGCACTAGTGCCTGTCTGCTGAGGCGCGGACAGGCATGGTGAAGCTGGCGGTAAGCTTCCAACGTGCGGAAAGCAATCGCAATGGATGGTCGAATTGGAGCCGTGCCAAGATAGCCACGACGTACCAGGGATTCGTTTGGTAGCTCATCCTCCGATGCAGGTGTAACAATGCCGATGTCTTTGGCTTGGACAACATGAGTTCTATGTCAATGGGAACGTCGATTTGTACTCACTATCGAAGCTTATGAGTACCACATCCCACGGCTGCACATTCCCCTCCTGAGGCTGCTCTCCCGCACTCCAAGCAAGGTATCCGTCGACGAGCTTGTGGATTTGTCGCTGCCACTCCTGCTCGCGGAGGAACGTCCTGTCGACGCGTGTGCGCGTGTCGTAGCGTTTGCTGTAGAGGCGTTTATACGAAACAAGTAACTGTGGTGTTCTGGTACGCACCTGTGTTCCTCTGTGAAGAACGTCTGCCATATCGTGTGCTCGCCGCCCGCGTTGCTGTTGAACATCGCTTCCTCACCATGTGGTAAACTGGCCGGCGTATCGTCCTCCCAACCCTCATCGTCCAATGGGTCGACGGCCATTTGATTGAGCGCATCGCGCTCGGCGAAGGTGAGACCTGTTTACGCGTCAACTGAAGATAATGATACTTCCGATATAGAGAGCTCACCTGCGAGTTCTGCCCGGTACTTCTTTTCCAGCTCGGCGCGCCGTCGAGCTGAGCTGCACAAGGTTTGCGTTGCTTGTGCGACCGGCTTGCCAAAGCCTTGCGAGACGCGCACCTTCACTGTCCGAGAGCCACCATACCGAGATTTCGACTTGTAAGACGCGTTGTTCCTGGCCATCCGGATGCGACTGCCGGCGAAGCAAAAGAAGCAATACCCACAAGAAAGTATGGCAGCCAAAGTGGGCTCCCAAGCCTGAGTGTCCGGAGCGTCGACAGCGAACACGTGCTGAGACTCACTGGGCGGACGCTGTGGGGGATGCCGCTGAGGTGAGTGCCCCGAGAAATGATTGGGAGACAGAGGCTGGTAATAGCACTAATCCGGCGAGTAGCTGATGCGAGATCCCAAAGTTTTCGGTCACAGATTCAGCGTCTAGAGTGTCCCATTTTGGGCAATATTAACGCCGAATCTGAAAGCAAAAAGTCCTGGATCTGACAACCGGATTAGGCAGGCTCAAGGCGCTGAATCCAGGAGTGGAATGCCTTCGATGTGACGGACGCATGGAGCGATGCGGTAGCTCCAATATTGACAGCAGGGAAGACTGCCATTTGAGACAGGCTGAATGCCGTGACAAAGGCGTGGTTTCGAACTGTGCCTGTCTTTCCGCCCTACATGTGAGTTGCCCCTATGCAATTGCTGATGGCATAGTGTTGCATTAAGAGTGCCGTCAAGGCGCGTAGTATATTCAGTGCTTGTAAGACGACTGAGCTGCTATCGACGTGCAGGAATGGTGGCGCAGGCGGACACGTATAGCTTATGTACATCGGCAGGAGTGGCCTGAGGGCGGTCGCGAATAGCGGCTCCGGTACAATCAGGAAGTGGAGATAGCGTCTCAACAAGGCATGTGTAGAGACGCTGAATCTGAAAGCAAGAACTTGGGGATCTGACGTACGCATTAGGCAACAAGAGACGCTGAATCTGAAAGCAAAAACTTTGGGATCTGGCGTACGCATTAGGCAATGCGAGACGCCGAATCTGAAAGCGAAAACTTTGGGATCTCACGTCTGCATTAGGAATACCTCGGCGCAGGGAGGGGAGCGATAAGGAGGTGGGGAGAGTCACTGACTCGGGCGATATGTGGCCGCCTTGACGGACTGACGGAAGCACACATCGCACAATGAGATGGGAGAGTCGTCAAGAGGGAGAGGAGTGAGCAGCAGGATAATGAAGGTATATATGTTGAGCAGTGCGCCGGGAGGTTCCAGAGTACACCACCGGAAATAGAAAGGCGCGGGCCGACACGGCGGGCGGGAGGCATGGTGGCGCGACGACTCGGGGCGGAAGGGACAGGGGATGATCGAGAGACATGGTGGCGCTGCAACTGCGACGAGAATAGCATAGGGAGAGCGCCGGCGAGAGGACGACAAGTGGCTGTAATAATATTGATATAGGTTAGGTACAAATGTGGAAGCCCATCAGCACTTGGTGGCTGAGGGACCGACAGCTACCCGATGTGGAAGGAGGCGGGGGACGACGTCGAGGCTACTGCTCAGGAGTGGCGGGCCTGCACGGGAAGGACCGGTAGGTCACGGCCACGGTCGAGAGCGCGAAGGAACGGCCGAGACACAGAGCACGTGCTGGGGTCCAGCGGCAATGGCTCGAGAGGTCACCGGCAGAGTCAGGATGTCTTGGGTGAGATAACGGGAAGTCACTGAGATGCGTGGAAACGAGCCTACACTAGGCAGGTCACATGGCCCGTCTTACCTGTCTAATTAGGCTGCTTAGGTGGGATGATTAGGTGGAGGGAGGAGCTGGCGATCGTGTGACTCGGATTGCGTACTGTCGCTCTGATCTTTGCTCATAACTGTCCTTCGTCTGTGGATCTTGCCTCTAAGATGAATATCGTCCTCTTGCTCGATCTCGGTGAGATCTCGCACACGAACGGTTCTGTTTGCCTTGGTCGGAGATCAGCGAGGACAATCGCTTCTGAGTCGATACTAGCTCACCTCACTGTCCCAGACGTGAACGGCATGACCACTGGAATCTCCCCCATCCGGTCACTTCGCTTGTCGAATACTAAAGACGGAGGCAAGATTGGATGCCGTAAGGAAGACGCTCGAGTCTGCGAGGACTCGTCTGGGACAAATGCGACTCAACTGCACGTCATTACAGCCACTCAATTACAAGCTGTAGACTTTCGAGTTGCTGACATCCTCAGATGCCAGTGAGTCGACCTTGGGTTGGATGCTCGAGGGAGGGGCAGACATGAGGGCAGAGAATATGGTGAGGGGGCACTTCAATTCATGCATGAGGGGCTCGTAGTGCTTGCCGTCGGACGACCTCTTGGGCGTAGCGGGGAATACCGAGAACGGTTCAAAAAAAATGGACCAATCAAATGTTTGTGCGGACGCGGCGGACATAAAGAAACCCGCGATCACATACTCTTCAAATGCCCGTTTTGGATACGGGTTAAAAAGCACAAGCGCTCTCCATTCATCGGCCCGTTTGGGTGGAAGCAGCGACATGTGGACACCTATTACAGTAGGACCCAGCGTGGCTGGGCCCCCAGTGACATCGTGGATTTCGCCTATATGAATCCATTAGCAGCCACCTTCGAGTGGGCAGAGATCCTGTCCAAATGTAAGGATGACGAAACTCGCGGCGACATGCTTACCCTTAATTGGGCGCGACTACATGCCCACACAGTTTGGCGCTAAACACAATGGCTCAATCTGAAGGGGCGTATTGAGAAGGGAGGCATCCACGATAAGCCTTTCTCTAAGGATCACGATGACGTCATCAATTTCTTTGATGAAATCAACGACAAAGCTGAGATATTTGCTCAGCATCTTTCATCACAGTGGGAGCACGACAAAGAAGTGCTTGCCCGGTTTGATGCTATGCCACGTCATGTGGTAGATGCCGGTGATGTTCCCGACGAGGAGGTGGATGAGATGTTGCGTGTCCTAGACCGACATCCTCTGCCTCGTATTGATTCGCTTCTAGACTCGGCGGCTGGCCTCACGGCTGACGCCAGTCAGTTGTCAGACGAATTCGTACCTAACCGGTCTCCTGTTGGACAGCCGGGCGATGCCCTCTGGTTCACCCCGTCACCAGGCGGGTGAATGCGTCGAGGGACTCTCTATTATTATACTCTACATGTGCCTATGTTGTACGGAGTCTAAACCCGGTGAATAAAAAAAATAAAAAAAATAAAAAAAAAGACCTCTTGGGCGTATTACATAAGCACGTTCACAGCGTTTCCCAACATTCTCGCGGCTTAGCTTAAAGCGGCTTACTTCCAAGTACAGGCCGTGCCGCATCGCCTGTGTCCACACCGCGCTCAGACCGTGCCCTCAGATGTCCCTGGCTATATGTATGCCCGCCGCAAGGAAGGTGCTCGAGTCGGCAAGGACGCGTCCGTGGCAGAGGCTGTACGACCGAGCGGGGCACCATCCGTGAGTATCGATGCGCTTTGGATGACTCGAGATCTACCGACCGTCTACCGAACCCGAACACCATCCTACGTAGAGGCCTGTTCGTCATCCGCTAGCTGGATCACTGCAATGGTGTGCATAACGTGTTAGACTGGGGCTCGCGGAGCGGAATGTGACAAATTTACGTTACCAATAGAAACATCCTTCAAAAAATTACGCAGATCAGCAAGTATGCACAGTCCTTGGAGACGGCGGCATAACTCCACAGATATATGTGTGGCCGCGTAGCCGCGCAGCCACATATATATCTGTGAAGACATGACACATGTATCTCTTCCGCGATCAGGACTTTCGCACTTCGCGAGCAAGGACATGTTGCTTCGTCACCACATAGGAGAGTATGCTCATTCAGAGCCGCGGTACCTGCGCGCGCAGCACTCAAGAACGCGTCTGTGGCATCAACTGAACTCCGCCCAAATCCTGTGGCGAAAATAACCACTCGACCGCCCTTCGCACCAGGTCTGCGAGAACTGGGATTCTACTCCGGTCCTTGCATCTTACAGGTATGTATAGAACATCTCGGTATCCTGCTTTTAATATCATAAGTCGAGCTCCTTGGACATACCCGGCGAGCGTGCCCCTAGCTGATGTAGAACAGCTGCGCACTGGCACGGCGTCGTACAGCACGATCACCGACTTGAAGAGTGTCTCGTCTATCACGGCTCTGTGACGTTGTCGATGATAAGTTGCCGAGTCCGGTCAGATCGAGGATGGATGTCGCAGACAAAAGGTTCGGGACACCTAAGCATGCAATGAGCCGGGAACGAGTTCAAGTCGTCCATAACGCGACTCACATGGTAGTCCCAGAGATGTACACCGGTGTGGGGGTTATCTCCTGGCCACGGGCATCCCGCGCCTTGGTTATGTCCATGGTCGTTACAATGCTGGCAATCCCGAGCCACATAGTATCGTCAGCAAAGTATTTCCCTGCGCATATCCTGTTCCAGTTTAGACTCGATTCAAGTAGGCGGTCCGGAAACGCACCGCACCTCCGGCCGAAGCCAAACACTATTTTCTTAGGATCTATGAGGTTGGGATCCTCGCCCGATTTCAATCCGAGGAATCGCTCTGGCTTGAAGACGTCCGACTCTGGATATACCTCAGGATCTCGGCACATCGCCCTACACCATCCATCAGGCGGGAAGAAGGCGCAAGATGTACGAGCGTACCAGATGTTTGAGATTACCATTGAACCCTTGGGTAGGTAGTAACCCCGGTACGCATCGTCTTCTGTCAGTCGATGGGGAATAGCTGGGAAGTAGTGAGTCAGTGAGGGAACAATGGTCTCGTTCAGTAATTTAGCCTGAGCCTACAAAGGGGACCTATAGGGCACCATCTCCGCACAGGATGTCAGTCTCATCCGTATCTGCAGCGTTGCAAGTATCCGCGCACCTGTATACTTCCATGAGCACGCACTCGAGATACGGCAGTGATGCTCGGCCATCAAAGTCCGGGAGCCTTGAGTCGCCGACTACGCGGATCATCTCTTCCTGGGCTTTCCTGAAGACGTCGGGATACTGCACCATCACAAGGACAAAGACGATCAGGGTCGTCAAGGACTGGATTATGTAAGATCATATCGTCGTTTCTTGCATTTGATCGGCGTTGAACTTACCGAGTCGGTGCCCGCTGTGCGAGGGATGCGTCAAATCAACGCGACCGCACGAAGACCCATAAAGCATCGTACCCTGATAAAGTGTGCCCAAGGTACCCTTGATATCGTCTTCGTCTTTTGCTGTCAGGTCCCCTTTTCGCGAGCATTCTTCTATCATGACTGCAGCGAACGAAGGCCGAGCGATACCGGCCACCTACACTGTGGGTTAGCTGATGCTCGAGCGATGTCCGTGTCCAGACGGAACTCACGATTTTTTCGTTGACGGTATTGTATAGTGTCATCTCCATGTCCTCGACGCCTTTCCGAGCTTTTATAGCTGCGTACTTGAAGCTCATTCCGGGTAGCCATGCAGGGAGGTATCGCACTAGTCCTATAAGCCGAGCGTATACCGACACGTATCATCCGACAGGCTACTCACAGACTGGGAAGAAGTCCACCATTGCCGACCCAATACTACTTCCAACAAGCGCAGCTCTGATACCGCGTTCCGTCAGCTGCAAGAGCTTGTCGCCGTCCAACGACGTGATATCATGTCCATAGCCAATCTCGAAAATGATTCCGGCCGTATACCTTCGCGCGAATCGTCAGCGCCGCGACTGCATGACACGCACATTTTCTCACCGTTTGATCTGATATACAAAGTCGTCCGGGTGGTGTAGGAGGTTCAGCAACAATCGGCGTGCTTCGCGGCGCTGCACCGGATGGTAGCTGTCCACGGCGGACCTGGCGATAAACGCGTGTTGGAACCATTTTCGCATACGTCGCCATGTCTCGTTATACCCGCAAAGCGAAGTGTTGGAGGTCCATCCAATCCTGCAGTGAATTAAGCATGAACTCATATTTATGCCGAGGTGACCTAATCACGTACAGCTCGTGGAACCACACAAAACGCGGTCGATCGGAGTATATCGCCCCGCGCTTGTCCATGAGGTCAATCGCAGCCTTGGCGGAGTTGAGGATGATCGTGGGTCGCGTAAATATTTCGACGTAGACGACATCCCCTGCACGGCGGTTCGGGTCGTCAATATCCTTGATAGTCCTGAAACATTCAGAACATTCGTACCATACTGGGCAGCCCACTTCGTGAATGTAAGGTGCTGGTCGCTCTGCGGCAATTGATGTGCATTGCCAAGGAGAGGGACGCGCGGGGGTCCGGGAGGTAAGGACCCGCGCCGCGGTGTGTGCAGAACGTATGACAGGACGGCAGCTGCTAGGCCGAGGCAAATAATAGCCACGACACTCGGTAAGGCGGGCATGCTGAGGGCAATGCGATTGTGCTGTGGAGGCTGTTAGCTCCTATACACAAGGTTGCACATGTCTCGCCACTCACCCAGGACTAGTTATACGGTCATGAAAGCATGTCCGCTAGCTGTAGTCAATTGAATATAGCGGTTATGTTGCGCGCGTCCGGAGACCCGCGGCTCCGCAGTTCGCGAGCTAAATCTGCAGATTTGGTACGGGCGACTACTCGATGAATGTACTAGATGATCAACGTGAGTTTGTGCAATGTCAATACATAGGCCGGAACCTGGCAAAATCACGTTAACAATGTGACTGGGATATGTATGTTCGCAAAGGTTAGCGAGCCCATTGGGGAAAGCGTAGACATAAGCGTTGTGGTCATCGTCCTCAAAGGGCCAATTCGGTATGCCTAGAGGCCTGTTCATCGTCTCCTTGGATTAATCGCGTACATAGCGTGTTAGATTGGGGCTCGCGAGCTTGAAGGACATGTTGCTCCGTCACCACGTACTAGTAAGTCGGGCCACGGCGGCGTACATTTGGAGCCGCAGTACTTAATGTAATGGCCTCGAGAGATCGTTCGATGTAGCCTCAGATGCGGTATGAGAAGACGGCGTATAGTTCTTGGAACAACAGATATCGGACATGGCGGGCAAGGACGCGTCTGTGGCACCAACTCAACTCCGCCCGAATCCTGTGGCGCAAATAGCCATTCGCCCTCAGAGTCCCCGCCGCCTGGTCCTCGCATCTCATGAACGACTCAAATGTATAGAAAGTCTTCTTGTCTTGTTTTAATCTCCCGAGTCTGGCTCCTTGGGTAACATCGGCGAGCGTACAATCGAGTCGACGATAGAACAGGTATGTTTTTGATAGTCTCCCGTAAGCTTAGTAGGGTTGTCCGAGTCAAGTCGCTGCGCGCATCGCCGCCCAAGTTAGTAGTGGACGGTGCTCGAGTCGTGGGCTGTCGTCGGACATTGGTCGAGTGGGTTGCTGGTTGGTGGGTAGCGGTGGGCCATATGCATACCAAGCAGTGAGATTGGTAAGTACGGCCTCGCAGCGGCTCAGAGTCAGTTCCCCTGTCACAAGGTCCGTCATACCTATTCAATGTTCACATCATCGTGCTGCTATTCGTCTATGTTGTTTCGCAGCATCTGAGCAACCGCACAGGCCGAGTGCACCTCCTTGTCGACTCGAACCTCTTCTCCGTTCATCCCGGGAGGCTCTGACTCGATCCTCACGTACACAACCCTTCGTGCCAAGCCCCGCTGGGCACAATGCTCGCTGCGCTCGGAAAGCACAATTCAATCGCGTGAGCAGGCCATCAAGGACGCGGGGCATGCGAGCGGGGCGCATCACTGAACGCTCCATCGACAAGGGTCCCGTGCTACATACTCGTCCACCCCCACATCACCCGCTGCCATGAGGACCCCCTTGGCGCCCGCTAGCAGCTGAGCGTCCTCGGTGCCTGCGGTATAAGAGCCTTAGGTACGCGACGGCGGGCGGTCGCTCGCATGCGCCCCCGACTCGACGATGTCTGTACTTCTTGATCTGTGCGTGACGGGCGTGCTGGGGACGGCAATAAGCGTCGTGTACTGGCTGCTGAAGCACTGGTGGATTGACGCGCAGTACGGGTGGTACTTGCCACCAGGCCCGAGGCGGATCCCCCTGCTCGGAAACGCGCACCAAGTCGGCCTCGCCGGCCAGCACAAAACGTTCGCAGAATGGAGCAAGCGCTACGGTGCGTCGAACCTTCCTCGACAGAGATTTTCGGGCACTGACAGCACGACGCCGACAGGGGACGTCGTCTATATGCGCGTCTTCAGCAAGCCAGCGCTCGTCCTCAACTCTGTCGAAGCAGCCCGCGACCTCCTCGACAAGCGCAGCGCAAAGTACTCCGATAGACCTCACTTCACCCTTCTCGTCGATATGTCCGTACGTACATAACCACTGCGTCACCCTCGCTCCAGCTCTCCCGCAGGTTTGGCTCGGACCCAAATCCTGCCCTCATGCCCTATGGCCCCTGGTGGAGGCAGCACCGCGTCTGGCTGCACGCCGGCCTGATGGACAAAGAGAGCCTCAGCATGTACCAACCCATCATACGCAGCGAGACGGGCAAGCTCGTCTCAGCATTGATTAAGTCGCCGGACGACTTCGTCGCACATATCAAAAGGTCAGCTCCCCATGCGATCCGAGGACGCCGGCGCTGAAGTCCCCCTCGCTAGGTTTGTAGGTGGCTTGATGATGGAAATCGCATACGGGCACACAGCGGTGTCTGCGGACGACGAGCTAATCACGCTAGCAGACACCGTGGTCCGGGAGGCGATGGATTCCGGCAGCATAGCAGGAACGCTAGTCGATTACTTCCCTTCGCGTAAGACTTCTCCAAGCGTTCGGAACCTACGCTGTATCTAATGCCATGCAACAGTGAGATGCATACCAACATGGCTCCCCGGAGGCAGGTTCAAGCGGAGAGCTGCGCGCATCCGCGGGATGATGCGCGAGATGTACGATCGGCCGTATGAGCAGGCGAAGGCCGCGATGGTATGTCTCAACCGTCGCATCCAGTGAAATAACACAAATCGATTCGTCAGGCACGCGGCATGGCCAAGCCCTCGTTCTTGACTTCCTTACTCGAGAATATGGCCGCGGACGGTGACTTGACGCCTGAACACGAAGAGCATCTGAAAGGTGCTGCGATCGTTCTGTACACAGGTACGTCCGACCGACTCCCCGCATTGGCATAGTGCGCTGACTGCACGTTCTAGGCGGCACGGACACGGTACTTGTCTGGACACTTCGCTACCGAACCTCCACGCTGACCGACTGCCTCAGACAAGCGCCGTACTCGCAACCTTCTTCCTCGCCATGACCCTGCGCCCAGAGGTCGCGAAGAAGGCACAAAACGAGATTGACCGCGTCGTCGGCAGCGCGAGACTACCTGACTTTGAGGACAGGACGTCTCTGCCATATATCGAGTGCATCCTCTCAGAACTGTACCGGTGCGTCCCACCGCTTGTCCTCTCGAATTGCTATCCTGATCATCTAAGAAGATGGAACCCCCCACTGTACCTCGGTATGCTTCCATCGTCGGCTGAGGTAGAAGGTCGCTGATCGCACTGTAGGCGTCCCACATCGACTCACCGCGGATGACGATTACCGCCGCTGGCACATTCCCGGCGGGTCGATGGTCATCCCCAATATCTGGTATACTCTTCAGTAGCTTGCTTGACCTGCTCGCTTACGATGCCGTGCGTCGACAGGTGGATGCTGCGAAATCCCGGCTGGTACTCCGACCCGGACGCGTTCCACCCGGAACGCTTCCAAGAGGTAGACTCGTCTCTTGCGGAAAAGAGTCCGCGCAACCTCGTCTTCGGTTTTGGTCGACGGTACGTCCTGCCATGCGCTTCGCCAGTCAGAGTAGCACAGACGTGTCCTCATGCATGAATAGGATATGCCCTGGACGGCAACTCGCCGACCAGACACTCTGGCTCGCCATCGCTACCATACTAACGATGTTCGACATCCGTAGGGCGCGCGACGCACAGGGCAACGAGATCACGCCCGAGGCCGTGTTCGTGTCCGGGGGCATTAGGTACGTCGTAGTCACGGACAGTCAGATACGCTGCTCATCGCGATATAAGCCATCCGAAGCCTTTCCGGTGCGACATCCGCCTACGGTCGCAGGACGCAGCTGGTCTCGTACGAAAATTCAGTGGCGGTGTGACCTGAACGCGCGTAGTTGATGCGTACGTGGTAACATGAACGCCGTTTCAGGTAGCCGTCGGGGAAAGGCTCAACTTGCTGCAGCTGGTTCTGACAGGGGGGCACGCTCTTTTCACGCGCATACTGTAGCAGCAACGCTCAGGCAACTGTCATGGTATACCCTGCATGTACCCGTAGAAGCCTAGCTTCGTCACGATGCCGTCTTTGTTTGCATTCTGGGTTATGATTGAGATTCATTGCGCTAGTCTAGGGCTCGCGGTTTTCCGATCTACTCACGGATCCCTAGAGCATCTTGATGTGAAGCTCCATTGCGGGAAATGTCATGTTGAGACACTGATGCGTGCCAAACGGTGCAGAGGCCCTCCTCGCCTTCGTTTGCGTATATGTGCAGATCCTTGCCGATCGTCAACGAGCGGAGGCCATGGCGCTGCGCCGGAGAGTCGCTGCAATTCGGTAAGGCCGTCTCAGAAGCGAGCGACCCTGCCCAGAGCGGTGCGACGGCGTCGATGTATATATAGTGCCCGCAAGCAAGGCATGTTCTCAGAGAGGTGCAGAAGACTTCGGGGCGTTGGCTTTTGTTCGGGATGTGACGTTACTGTTGCGAATCTGCCACCCTAGAGCCATCAGTCAGTAGAATCAGTTGGCGGCCCCGGGGCCCATACACGCACATTGTCAGAGGATATCCATTCCATGAGTTTGTTTTGATGCCATTTAGAATCATATGGATCATGTATGCTGTACCAGACGGGTTTGAGGCTTGTGAGGTGTGACCAGGCCCGTGCGATCGTAACTTTGAAGTCCCCCTTACATCATCGCGGCTCATCGCAATGTGCCATTCTTCCTACTGCTCTTACAGCTACGTTCCATGTAAACAACTCGCTTCTAGACAGTCTACACGTAGTACAGTTGGCTCTATGCACCCCGCACCTTCTGAAGCATCCGCGAAAGGTTGTACGCCGCCGAGATCAATGTGACGTGCCTAGGTCGTCACTCTCAGTCATATATACCAAGGTATCAGAACAAGGGAACTTACGTGAAGCCTTGTACAGCGTTTCCGAGCCTAGATTAGAACAGGAGTGAATTCAGAGACCGCAGGCACGCAAAACATCGCCACGTACGCTTCGCCTGCCGCGGAGATCTCTTCCGTACAAAGCCCAACGTGGTTCGTGTATTGCAAGAAGTCCTACATGCATCGACCGTTAGCGACACCGAGGCTACGTCCAACGGTGATGAGAGGAAATGCGCGACACGAACCTCGAACATCCCGACGGCCCTAGACAGCATGGCCTTGTCGTACTCGCCCGCACGCGCCAGAGCTTCTACACACCTACCCATACGCACGTCATTCAATCATCTGACATGCTCGCATCCATGAAGACGCACCAGAGTGTACACAAGCAGAACGTCCCTTCGTCCCCGCCAACACCGTCGTCGGTCTTTCTCACGTCGTAACGGTACACCAGGCCCTGCACAGCGACAACAGCATCAGACAATGCCACGCTCCCATTCTACGAACGACACTTGCGTTAGACGTCAAACCACCCCTCTCCGGCGTGTACAGTATCTGCTTCAACGTACTCAAGAACCGCGGATCGCTCTACCAGTCCCATCAGCACCGAAGCTCGCGCCATCAGCACTACACCAGACACACCGGCGGCATAAAGAACACGAGCGGCATGATGAGCAGCGACGAGTCGAGGATGTCGAGGTCCTCGTAGCTCTGCGCGAAGAACTTCTGCTCCGGGTTCCACGCCTTGTTCATGATCTCCTCATACAGCTCGTCGCGCGCGGCGAGCCACTGCATGCGGCGCGGGCAGGGGAGAGAGCGTTTGTCCGCGAGGCGGAGGCCTGTCAAGGGCGATGAACGTCGTCGTATATGAAATAGGAAAGGGTGTGCTACCTCTGTCGATCGCTACCCTGCGTTGCGTCGGGGCCTCAGCGCAACGCACTCGCAGAGTGTGACGTAGTACTTACCACATCATGACCTTTGGGTTGTCCGACCTGAGTAATGTAACGTAATGATGTAGTGCGATGACCTACCTTCGAGTACTGGAGCAGGACTCAGTCAACGAGTATAACAAACCAGCAAACCCGACGTACCGTGAAGTGTCGATGACGGTTCCGGACCTCCCTGTATGCACACCTTTAGTCACGACCTTCATCGCCGCGTTCATGATAGCCTCTCACCAGATCGACCTATGGTGAACGCATAAGCGCGGATGAGTGAATATGCTACCGGAACAACAGTCTCGCTCACAGGTCCGGCTTCTTGTAGTTGGCGATTACATCTATGTACGACGCGTCAGTGGCCTCATGAGCCTGCGCAAGCGTAGGACGAGCGTACAATCGACGCTAAGGATATCTCATATCAGCGACCAGCCCGCCTTGTGAACAACTAGGGTACGCACATCTCTCGTACAGCCACCCTACACACCGTCAGTACCGTTCGGATGCAAGAGCGCACCACGCACACACTCACCAGGTATCATAGCTCTTTCGGCGACGCAAGTCGGCTCGTCAGCCCTGAGCCCATCCAGCCAATCTGGCTACTCACGAGCGGCTTGCCATACTACAACGAGCATCGATCAACACCCCACTGACTAACTATATGCGAGCAGACCGACCTTCTGCGATAAGTAGATACAATCCATGCTACACAGGCGCGTTAGTCGACGCGCCGCTCGTCTGCATAGAACTAGTAAGCATGTTGATTACGTCCACGGAACGTGCAGACGACGCACCTCTCCACACACTCACAGCTCGCCGTAGATATCCTGTTAAGAATCAACGACCTCGTCCTGCACACACCTATCAGGAACACGGGCGTACCAGTTGTACGTGGTCGATCGCGCCGTTGCCTATCCTACACAGCGGGTCCCGCAAGGGTCAACACCAGTCATGCAACGTAGCGCAATGAGACCTGCTCACCGAACGGGCTTCGAGCCCTTGTGTCCGTCGAGATGCGTGAGCTCCTCTTCCGGAAAGATCTTCTCGCCTATTCGTATCCTTGCTCTCAACATCGCGTCCTCGCTTCCCATTCCAAGGACGTACCGTGTATGGTGTACCTATTGCGCAGCCGTGTAAGTATATTCGGAGACCTTGCGACGGGAGGACTTGGACACTTACATGATGCTCAACGAGCCGTCCGCGTTCTTTGTACGCAGACGCTCCAAGATAAACTCCATGTACGCTGCACGCGCCACCGCTCTTCAATACACGCGGCTCAAAAACAGCGAACACCACTAACCGTTCGTCTCGTACGTGAACCCAAGCCGGATCAGCGCATACAGCGTGAACGAAGAGTCGCGGATCCACGACGCCCTACAGCACCGTCAGCGCCGAGCCCACACCGCGGAAGCGCACACAGTAACAGAACGACTAGCCGAAACGACTCACCGATAGTCCCTAAGATCGCGCTCAGCTCGCAGCTGCATCCTCGCACCGAACGCACAAGCCTGCTCACCAGTTCCGCGTCCCCCCAATATACTCCGGCAAGCTGAACGTCGGGCTCGCCACGACCGCGCCTGCCCCGTCTCTCAGTCGCCCTCGCCCCCACAAGGAAAGAGGTGCACGCACCGGTCGGCTCGTAGATGAGCAACTTGAGCGCGAGCGCACTCCGGTGGACGGCCTCCTTCCACGCGCCCTCGTACGTCGACTGGCGGATCCACGAGTTCCAGTACTGGTTCGTATCCTGTGTTTCGTCAGAAAAAAGAAGCAGGAGGGGCTAGGTTGGGCGACGGAGAGCGGAGGGCTTACATCGAGGAGACGGTGCAGAAGTTGCTGTGGACCGAATAATGATAATCAGAGGAGAACGCGTCGAGGTGAGACAGAGTACACACCTTCGTCAAGAACGGGTCCTCCGGCGGCCTCAGGTCCGACGCGCCCATCACAAGCTCTACGAAACCCAACCTCAGCACGCCCTCCCCGCAGAGACTGCCCTGCACTCACGCTCAAGCGACACCCCCATCTCGCTCGCCTTCTCCGGGGTCGGCTCCGCGCCCCGCGGGCCCCCTCCGTCCTCCCTCGGGGGCGGTATCCGCAGCACCCACGTAACCACCTGCCCCTCGCCCATCGTCCACTCCGCCCCCGCGCTCACACCCAAATGGCCCTGCCCCCGCAAATCCATCTCACCCAGCTGCACCGCGGGGACGTCAACGTTGTCGAGCAGCGACTCGGCGACGTAGCGCAGGTCGAGCGCGAGGTTGGCGCGCGCGGAGGCGAAGAGGACCTTCTTGTGGGGCGCGGGGCTCGAGGAGGAGTAGATCGTCGGTATGGAGGCGTCCGCGACGATCTCCATCGTGTGCGGTGCGCGGGCGTAGTCGAAGGCGGGCGCGCATTCCATGCGGAGCGGCATCGTGCCGCGGATGACCTGGAGGTGCGAATGGGTCAGAGTGTCTGTGAGTGAATGATGAGAGACTGACCTCGACGCGCCGGATGAGCCAAGTCAGGAGCGGCTTCGTCGGCGCTGACTTGGCCTGGCGGGGCAGGTAGTCCGTGACCGTCGCCACGCCCTGGTCGTTCAAGAACCTACGCGCCGTTCAGCAAGTCGCACCCACTGAGCCGCAGGAGAATACGCACTTTGTCTGCAGAACCTGTAGGAGATCTGCATGTAAGAACCCATCGGACGCCGGGAATGTGCGTGGCACTCACGTTCGAGTTTGGGGTGTAGTTCTGCTTGGTGGTGGACGGGATGGTAGGGGTGATCGAGAAGTGTCCGCCCTGGGTGGCGGAAGGTGAGCATGAGACGCCGGATGAGACTCGGGCGCACCTTCTTGTCGTCTAGGATGCGAGCGAAGATGGAGGGCGAGTCAAAGTTCGGGACGCAGTAGCTCTCGACTGTGGACCCGTGGTCAGTACGCGCGTTCAGCGTCAGATCCCATAGCGTATCGAGCGGGAGTCGGCGAGGACACCACCCGAGATCTCAGCGAAGGGAAAGGGAAACGACGGTTGATACTCCAGTCCGGGTGAAGACTTACTCGAGCCGTCCGTGCTGACCTACACGCATTCGCGCCTCGGCCTCAGCGAGCGCAGCGCACAGAGGAGTGAGGTACGCACCAAAGCCGCCGTGCGCAGGTTTCCAATGCTGCCCCGCAAGCCGTCAGTGACTAGTCTGCCCCATCGCCCGAGGTACTCACAGTCCGTGGTCTGCAAGGGGGATGTACCCGCGGTCTGCCTTGGGCTCGTTGACGGCCGACATGGGGACGACGTGCAGTAGCAGTGGATGGGGGGGAGACGGGCGAGTATAAGAAGGCGAGGGTTGGTCAGAGACAGGCTGAGCGGGAGCTGAGCGGCTCAGTGAGCGGTCCCACCGGAGTCCGCAGACGCGCCGCGCGCTGGGTCACATGATGTCACCCAACGCGTCCGTGGCTGAGCCCCTCGACGCATACACCCACAGGCACGTCGCCCGCTCCCACATCCGTCCATCAGACGAGCAGATATATAGCACAACCCCGCCAAATCGACGGCGACATATCACGGCAAAATATCAGACAGACGAGACAAGAGACAGTCGTAACAGCGAGCATGACAGTGGCGCGGCGTCGGGGGGTGAGCGTTCGGCGGTCGCGCGCGGCGGCGGCGTAGGTAGTGTGTGCGCATGTAAGTAGGGCTAGGTACGTAAACAGGGAGAGTAGAGGAGATGAGGTCCGTCCGTTCGAGTATCGAGACATGAGCGAGAGGAGACAAGAGACAGATAGATGACAGATGCGCGTGATGGACCGTGGCGCGGAGCGAAGACGAGAGCACGAGCGAGGGTGGGCAACGCGCGACGCGGGCGGGCGGGGCGAGGCAGAAGCGAGAACGCGATCCGAGAACGACAACGAGCGAGTGAGCAAGCGCAGACAACCGACAACGCAACCAACAACCACACGGGCACACCGACGGGCACACCGACGGCCCACTACACCGCGCCCTCCATCAGCAAGCAACCCTCAAACGAAATCACTGCACACGCACCTCCGCACTCAGCGCCCCGACCATAGGCTTCCTTCCCGTACCGGCACCCACCCAGCCGCCCCACCGCCTAACATACGACGCAACACCCGTTCTTCGTCGCCTCCACATTCCGCGCCCGGCTCCCCCGTCGCTCATGGCCCGACGGCACATGCGCCGGCACGCCCTCCCGCATCAGCATCGACGCACGCGTCGCCGCCTCGAACACGTCGTCCACGCCCTGTCCCACATCAGCGCGTCGCTCGCGGGCAGAAGGCAGGACCCCACCTCGATCTTCAGCGCCGAACACTCCTTGTACGCTCGCGCCCCGATCGCGTTCGCGACCCGCTGCGCCTCCGCCGTGCTCACATACGACCCCGGCGGCGCGTTCGCCCCTGCGCGATGCGACTCAGTCAGCGTGTGCAATATTGCGGACACCCTGGAGACACACCTGGCGGCGGACGCAGATCCGACTTGCACCCCACGAGGAGCACGGGGATCGTCGGCCCGCAGATCGAGCGCACCTCTTCTATCCACTGCACCGTCGTGTCAGCATCGCGAGCGGCACAAGTCTCGGGGTCCGCACCTTGACCGTGACGTTCTCCAGCGAGTCTGGCGTGTCGATCGCAAACGCAATGAGGATGACGTGTGACTTTGAGTACGACATCGGCCGCAGACGCTGTTCGCCGCCGCATCCCGGGTGCATCACAGGAGGGCAATCAACGCCGACAGGGAGGCATGCGAACGTGCGCGCGAGGTGTCCGTTGAAGCCCAGAGCAGGCCGAGTTTCACATCAGACGCGTGCCGTAGAGTAACGCGCAATCGCCGTACAGAGCGCACCAGGCGGCGAGCATGCATGGCAGAGGACGGCCGACGACGCAGATGATAGCCCAGGTGCATGTCACAGCCCGAGACAAGCGCAAGCCAGACCGGGTAAACGCCAATGCCGGGCGTCGGGCGGGCCGTGGAGGCGGATGGAACGCAACGAGGGGTGTGTGCGTACGGGCGATGACGCCATGCGTGAGAGCGTGGGCGAGGCAGCGGGGCCAGAGGTGTAGGCAGTGAGATGGCGAGCGACAGACGTGAGAGAAATATCGAGTCGAGCGGAGAGGGTAGAAGGAGACCGTGAGCGAGGCGGACATGCGAGGGAGAAGGAACGCACCTCGTACTCTTCCTGCCCACTTCAATCTTCACGTCAGCAGGCGGTCGTGCGAACGCGCGCCGACGAAGGGAGAGCGGTGCGAGGGGACGTACGCGGTATCCCAGAGGGCGAGCTGCACAGGCTTGCCGTCGAGGCGGATCTCTGCGACGTAGTTTTCGAAGATGGCTGCGGGCGAGGCGCAGCGGGCGGTTAGCGAGCGGCTGGGAGCTGCGGAGAGCCACGTACTTGGTTGCTGGCGGCACAGAAAGCAGGGAAACGGGTGTCAGAAAGAGCGGCTGGGCGGTGGATGGGACGCACGTATTCCTTGGGAAACTCGCCGAGGGCGAAGGAGCAGAGTAATGAGGTCTTGCCACATGCACCTGGGACACGACGGGAGCGTGGGGTGAGCAGCGGACGACGCGTAGAGACGGGGAGGACGCGTACCATCGCCGACGATGACGAGCTTTCTTCGGATCTGGGGATCGTCGCGGAGGACGTATCAGCGGCGGCTGCGGGCGAGGGGAACGGCGGGACGCACGGGGTTCTGGGCGGACATGGGCGGGTCGTCGGTGTGGTCGGGGACGCTGTGTCGGACGCTGAGGTCGGGTGGTCGGACGGCGGGAGAGGGAGGGAGGACAAGGACAGCCGCCAGCCTCAGCGCGAGGCAGGTCGTCCTCCGCCACAGTCCCGCTTACGTCAGCTGCACCGCTCCCTCCCGCCCAATCATCGCCCGTCCCCGCCGACGTCATCCCTCTCCACGTCGCCGTCCGCGCTGTCCTCGTCGCTGTCCTCGCCGTCGTCGCCGTCGTCGTCGCCGCCGCCCGCCACGACTCGCGCCTCCACCCGCCGCACTCGCGGCCAGCGCTGCGGACACGAGCCGCGAATAGCGACCTGCCCCGCGCCGCACGCATGTGGCCGTCGCCTGCTGCGCTCCCGCTGTGCTATCATCCTCGGCGCCCGTCGTACGATCTTCCCTTTTCCACCTCGGCCTGCTCTCCCCGCGTCTGCTCTCCCAGCCCAAGAATGCGCTGCCAGGAGGAGGTCCGCCACAGTCCCGCTTACGTCAGCTGCCCCGCGACGCCATCTCCTCCTCACCCTCATCTCGCAGCCGCCACTATGGCCGAAACTCGCGAGTTCGACTTTCCTATCCTGCTCGCCGCTCCTGTCGGCAAGCATCGCTACCTGGCGTACAGTTCCTACGAATTTCTGGCATCCAAGTGCACCTATGTATCCAACCTCGTAGACTCTGTAGCCTATGGTAGGGCCGTGTCCAGATGCAGGGCTCAGGGATGTAGCCCAAGTGCTTACGTTTCCGTGTGACTGTGCGTGTGCGCAAGGGGTACCAATGCTAGGAGTTCTGTACTATACTAAGGGCTTAGGCGACGACGTGGCCAACTGCGGTGTGTCAGATAAGAAAGGGTAGGAGCTCGTCCTAATGTCGCGGAGCTAGGTCCCATGCGACTCAGAACAGAACAAACAAAACGAGACTTGTCACCTCTTGGTTGTAGACCGAGGTCAATACAAGTCTAACAGTGTCGAACGCAATGCTAGCAACTCCAAGGTTAGTTACATTGCACTCTGCTTAGTACAACATGAAGTGCTTACCTAGCAACTCCAGGAGGACGAGCTGGAGTGCTAGGCAGCGTACAGGGCACTATATATACTGGCTAGGTTTAGGGCAGGTCTACCTACGCCGGATCCAAGAGCTGAGGTCATGTGTACGTATGAGTCAGAACGAGTCAGGTGGCTAGGTGCTGCCGCAGGGCACATGATAAGTTACATAAGCAAGACCACATGCTGAACCAGTCACAAGACGAACCCTAGCACGTGATGTGTCACGTGACTAGTCAGAAAGCCGTTCCAGGTGAAGTCTATCATACAGCGTACAGTACAAGTCCATAGAAAATGAGCAAAAATAGGATAACACATTTGTTCTCTGGGCGGCAATTGAGAAGGCTCAGAAACTTGGGAAGCCACTCTATGTGGCCTTTGTGGACCTCTCAAATGCCTTCCCATCAGATGACCAGCCAAGTCTATGGGTGAAGCTTCATGAAGCTGGATTCTCAGGTCCGTTATTCGACTAGCATACCTCAAAGCTCGCCTACAGCGGGTGCTTGGACACGGCAGCTTCTCGGAAGACACGTGTTACTCTGTTGGGACAACACCATGAAAAAAAACCCCTCAACCCCGCCAAATGTGTGACAAGAACATCACATACCATAAGGTTCACACACCTTTGAGGTGTGGACACCTGGCAGATGCCGTAGCGTGTTGAGCCCAGTCATTGATGGCATTAGAGCGGTACAGCATGCTTACCTGGTCAAGGCAACTCGTTCTTCATCCTTGCTGCCATGGCACAACTTGCATTCCTTCTCCACCTCCCACCTCTTCAACGCCTGTGACACCTACTTTCTTCACTGCTGGCTATGTTGACAAGCGCGAACCGGGCAATTTGGACACTGGAGATTCAATATGTTCATACTGATGCTTTACTGACATTTCTTGAGCAGAATGAAGAGCACCACAAGGCCCTCATAGGGGACCCAGGGAAGCAGGGAGACCGTCATTCTGGCTCAAAAAGCGGGAAGACAAATGTGGACCTGAGGTACGAAGTTGTGTTTGCCATCTTCTCCAAGAGCCCGGACACTACACTGCATGCCAAATGGGCCTCTTCACATTTGGAGAAGGGGAAATGGGCCCGAATCATTGAGGGTTGTCTGAATGAGTAAGTAATCATAACATTGTCATGTGGTACATGCTCATGAATGTCCCAGCTTGAGGAAGAAGTACAGGGAGGTCCTCAAGGAGTTGTCTGGGACCGGCTTTGGTCTACCACCTGAGGATTGTGCAAGGGGTGTGGCCACGGTTTCCGGTGAGTAGTTGTGCAAGCACTGTTCATATGACAACACTGAAGATGTGTCCAACAGACAAAGCATTGCAAGACAGCAAGTTGCAGCAAATCTGGTTCGACTGCCTCACACTGCTTTACAGAGACAAGCCATCTGTCACGGTTACAGCAGGGACCTTCATGCCTGGCCAAGACCTTGTCGGCCAGGCTTACACTGTGCTCGGTATGCAACAACGTGGGGGCGAGCATGTCAACATTGGAGATGGCCAAGACATTCAAGGTGTACTGCAGTACGGCGCTGGCACCCCGCATGTTCATGGATGGGTTGCAAGGCTGTGACCTCGTGAGGCCACAGGTCGTGCCATTTGGGACAAACAGCGCTTGGCATGCCAATGTGGCACATGCTGGCAGCAATGTTGCATCTGTCTGCTCAGTTGAGTCTGACCAATCTCATCTTGGCCTTGTGTCCGTTGTTGGGAGCAACACTTCGAGTTTCCACAGCCACCATCACATGGTTCATAACATTTCATTGATGTCTCTCCCTTTGCTACAGTGTGGCATCGGCAATGTGACTTTCAACTCATCTGTGTCATCTCTACAGTCCCTACCAGCCCAACACACAACAGACCATCGCCACTTGTCTTCAACAGCTTCTTGCTTGCCCTGTCTGATGCGTCCAGTGGTGAGCAGAACATTGACACAGTGTCTGGGCATCAGCTCAAGCATATGTGGCCTCAGTCCAACTGCAGATAGGGCCCTTGCACACCCAGGCCTTGGTGGCTTCAACAACATGATGCAGGGTGTCATGGAGAACCTCACCACAACGCAGCAGGTGCTCAACGACATCAGGCTTGAACAGGCACATCAGAAGACAATCAACAAAGAGATGGTGCTCGTTGCCCACTGAGATGGAGATGCTCAAGATGAAGTACAAGGTGATGCAACTCAAGATCCAAGAGAAGACACTCAAAGGGTGTTGTGGTGGTGACCATTGTGCAGCACAGGGCAAAATGTACGGTGACAACATGTTTGATGTCAGGGATGCCATTTAAACAGGATTAATGTTGAATCACTTATGTATCAAAGATCAACTTAAGTAGGGTACATCCCCAATCCAATCCACTGCTTAGCCATGGCTAAGCTATAGGATCAATAAGATGGGTCTGTAGTGGATTAGCCAACATGGATTAGCCATAATTGAGATGTACTTAAGCCATCATTAATCTCAATCTAAGCAGTTACTTAGCCAGATCTATGGCTAAGCATGTACTTGAACCATTGCTCATCTCATTCAAAGCTGATCCTGAGCTAATACTGAGCTGATCCCATGGATCAAGACATGGGTTAGCTGTACATAAGCCAGTTCTAAGCAGCTACTCATCCAGATCTATGTACTTGAGTCATTGCTAATCTCATTGAGAGTAGATACTGAGCTGATACTGAGCTAATCTCATGGATTGGCCTTGACTTAGGCCATGGATCAACTACACATAAGCCAGTTCTAAGCCCTTATGAACCTAATCCTATGGCTTAAGCACTGACTTAGCCATGACCTACATGTACTTCATCCATTCCTAACACCATCTGGGACATCTACTTAGCCAGATCCATGGATTAGGAATGAGATTAGCCATGACTTAAGCCTTGGTTGAGCTACACATAAGCCAGTCCTAAGTCCTATGATATGTACCTTAAGCCAGTTCTGATCCCAAATGAAGTCCTTACTTAGCCAGTACTTAAGTCAATTCTAATCCATGTCTTAGACCATCCAATGTACTATGAACCCAATCCTTGAACCAGTTACTGAGTAGGGTGGATTCAATGCTAAGTCTATCTCATCATAACTCCATCTATTATCAGGCTTACACGGAAACATGGTAAACCACTAGCAACTACTAAGCCAACTCATAAGCACATAGTCTGCCACTTCAGCCAACCACCATCAACAGACCACCCAAACGTCAAGCACATACAAAGCCTACTGCCATATGAGGAAAGATATACCATATTAGGACACTATTCTGTGGAGGAAGCACCACGTCAAGGACGTCAACTTCAAGGGCATGCGTAAAGCAGCACGCATGACAATGCTGAAGTGAAGTATAAGAGCCACATTGAGACTACAAGCATGAATGACTCACCTCTTACTTTGAGCTGTAGAGCGAGTGTTCCAGGCTGGCACCATCAGGAAAAACGTTCGTGTCTTCAGTGGTCTTGTGGAGAGCCAAAAGTGACATTATGTGTCACTATGTGCCACAAGAGCCTTAAGGTAAGTCAATTTCTTATTTTGTCTTACTTAAGTACATGTTTACTTAAATGAGAACAAAAAAGTACCCTTATTGTTCTGCCCCCTTTCACTATTGCTACTTCGTTCCTTCTAATTAAGCACTCAAACATTGTGTTCTTTTTTCTCTTAATTGCACTTCAATGCGTGGTGTCTTTGGCTTCCTTGGTGCTCTTCAGCATCATGCACAATAAACTGCCGTCCATTCATACTATTGATAATACACGACTGGAAACGCATAGCAATGAAGCAGCTCTGCCGCCCGACAACCGTAGACCGACAACCGTAGACGATGTTAATATGTGTGACGTGACTTCAGAGACAATGGCGAAGGAGAGCAGGAGACAGAGCGAGATGGAGAGCGAGAGACGGCACACTATCGTACATCGAACATGCGCAACACACGATTCTTCCCCAGAGTTCAGCGACTCAGCAACGTCATGGCCAGTATGGGTATCTAGATGGGGCAGACCATAACTGAGCTCAGACCTCCGGTTACAATCAAGTCCTTGCTCAACTTACCTTGAAGCATAGACCATGACAACGTAGCCAGGAGTCCTCTATCAGACTGTCCCTGTTTGGTCCTCACGAGCCGCGCCTTGTCAGGATGAAATTTGACACTAGATTATGGATCATCCTCTGTGATGAGATGACGGACATGCGTACCTTCACGTTCCTTAGCATCCCCGGCTCTGTCCTCCCTCTCGTCTACCTCGTCGTGCTCGATCTCATCTTCCCCACTTCCGTCCTTCTCGCTGACGTCCTCTGCAGCCACGTCATCATCTGCCTGGGCATTGTGGCTGCTGCGCACAGAAGGGCCCTCTCTACTGATGACGTTGTCGTCGCCCTCCTGACCGCCTTTCTCAGGGCTCGACGAACTGGATGGCTTGGTTGCCGAGACAGTAGGAGCCTTCCTTGTGCTCGAAGGCTTTCCAGCAGGCGAGCCATGCGGCGTTGCATTGCTCCCTCCCAAAACCACGATATCTTGCTCCTCAAGGGCCACGTCGAGGAAACCGGTATGCACGCCCACCTCGTCCACATCGTCCGTGTCTTCGAGCCGCGATCTGAGATAGTCAGTGCATTGAGGGATTGATTGCAAAGCAACTGCACACAGCTTACATGATGGACTTCCACACAATACGCTTCATATTCACGTAGGACGGATTGTGCTGAGCCTCCATGAACTCCAAGATTGCCATGACACCGTCCCATCTGTAAGAAGAAAGATAAGCCTCGATGTTCTGACATATGTGATGAACGTACTTGGCAGCATACTGCTTGTTCGTGAAGAAGTTCTTTGCACCTGGCTTGGCAAACTCCATGAGGGCGGACTCGATCTGTGCGTCACGAATCCGTGAGACCCCATTGTGGATTGAGCTCTGATAGCCATGCGAATGACGGTCTGGACTCACAGCGTTGCACACCACAGCGATCAGGTTGTTCGGCACCTCGCTGAACTCTTCCGTGGCTGCATGCAGGTTCGCGTCCGCTCGAGCTCCAAGGCCCCAGTGCTGGTAAATCAGCTCTGAAATAGCCGGGTGGAGGAACACCTCCCCGCGCTTAAAGTCGCTCTTCTGTCACCCAGATCATTAAGGTGTACTCTGCAATGAACTCGCACTCTCACCTCGGCATCAAAATGCTTGCGCGCATCTAAGGCAATCGTCATGCCACCGAAGACAAAGTTAGGGATGTTACGCAAGCCACCAACAACGGTCGTCGGGTGAGTGGTGATCAACCATGTCGCCAGGTTCCTCTTCTGCTGAGAAGACAGGCTGTCGAGCTCGTACATCTGAGAGGTAACAGTTTTGGCCTTCCTCTTCAGCTCGTTTCGGAACTGCGCTGCAGCCGCCCAGACCTAATGGAAGTCAGGCACTCGCGACTCTTCATGACAGACAGAAACAAACGCTCACCACTGTGTAGACATTCTTGCGCAGCTTGTCAGTCTCCTTAGTGTCCTTGTTCCCCTTGTTCCCCTTCAGCACTTGGAAGGCGGTCCTTATGGACTTGTCACGAGCCCCTGCCCTGCCCAGTTCATAGGCATCCTGCAGACTACTCTTGATGAGGTCGTCCCTCTCAGGAAGACGGCCGCTGCTGACTGATGGCTCAGACGTCCAAGCGTTCTTGAGAGCAATGCGCAGACGGAGGCAGTTCTGCGCCGCAGAGACGAGGGCCTTGATGTCCCTGGGGAGCTGTGTCACCTTGGCGCGTGTCTGGCGCCTACGCCTCTTCACCCGTTGCTTCCCAGTGCTCTTCGACTCCGCCACGGTCTACACAGTCAGTGGGGACAGCGTTCGAAAGGATAAACCACGTACCTCTACTCCATCATCAACAAACTCGTCACCATCCTTGTCCTCGTCCCCGTCCTCGTCCTCGTCATCTTCCTCTCCCTCTTCCTCGTCCTCATCGTCGCCGTTGCTTCCATCATCGTCTTCACCGCTTTCCGTACCGTCAGAGTCTTCGGTGTCGCGCTTCTTGTTGCTGCTGCCGCTAGGACGCATGTCCTTCTTGGCCGTGGTCACCGAAGCTTTCACCTTCCCAGCATCTTTGTCTTGAGCCTTCTTGGAGACTGGAGACGTGCTCGTGGTAGGTCGAGGCTACACAGAGGGCAATGTGAGAATGGGCTGCAACAAACGGTGTATGACAGTACCCATGGAGGTATCAACACATAGGGCTCTAACCGTACCTTGGGAGGTGAAGATGTTGTCCGAGTCGACACAGTGGACACCGGTTTCTTGGTTGCGTCCGCCGAACTTGAAGAAGCGGGCTGCGAATTCTTCTTTGTTTTCTGAGCAGGCTGCGCACCTGTGTCGTCGCTATGTTCCTCAGTCAACTGAACAGCCTTGGTCTTGACCTGCCCTTTGCCCTTCGGCGCAGTGTCGTGCCCTACACCGTTGTAAGGATCACAATATGCCATTGGCATTTACGGATACATAAGGCTATCCCCTCACCGAGCATCTGGACAAAAGCGGCTTCGTCCTGATCCAAGTTCTGCTTTCGCCCTTTGAAGGCGGGCTTGGGCTTGGGCTTGGGCTTGGGTTGAGCTACAGAACGCACTCAGTGTCAGTTCCTGAACGCGTATGTAGCACGCACGCTGGGACGGCTCTACAGCCGACGTAGTGCTCTTCTTTCCTCTGCTCCTCTCCTTAGATAGGACAGTCGTGTCCTCCTCCTCTTCAACGACCTCCACGTCCATCGGCTCCTGGACATCGTCACGGCCACTCCCCTCGTCAGATCGGCCTTCATTGTTCTTCGTACCTTCAAGCACGTCGTCGTCTTCAGCTTTTTTAGCCTTCTTCTTCTTCTTGGGCTTGGGGGGCTCTTCGCTGGTGTCACGCTGCTCAGCGTCCATGGCCTCTAACTTCCTCTTACGGATCTCTATCATGCAACATTATCAGAGTCCTCGATTGCAACAAATACACGACTTACTTTCCACGCGCTGTTCTTTGGCCAGCGAGGCTTTTGTCGTTGCCTTCCTCTTGCGCTTCAACTCGGCCATCTTGGTCAGCTCAGCGATTCTCTTGTGTAAGGCAGCGTCAGAGAGGTCCTCATCGGGAACATCACTGTCGGAGGGAGCTCCCCTGTCCTCCGCAGCATTCGCACGGTTCATCTGCGTGGCGCCTGTGTTCGCGCGAGCGCTGTTACTGGTGCCAGGGGCCTCCTGGCGAGCGGCTGAGCGGGTGCGTGAGGCCATTTTCAACAGCAACAACGCAGGGCAGATGGGTGTACAAGACTGAGAGTGTGCCAAGCGTACGCTAGGAGGGCGGAGATGTGTTGAACCCGAAGGCCGCCGAGCTTATCGAAGTTCCGCGGCCTCCCTCTTCGCAGTGATAGAAGCAACTTGGGACACGCGCAGCTTAATCAGCAAAGTCCCATCGAGGCCGTTGAGCAAGTCCAAGCCATTATCAGCTTCCTGAACGTGTTATTTCAGCTTGTGACGACTGCTGCAAACATCATGAATGGACCAGTAGGGTTACAGAAGAACAATTGTAGGGAAAATAGGTCGGAGAGTACGTCAAATAAAATTACGGTTACTAGACCATCCGTTGCGCCCATTGTGCCATTTGGCCATTTCCCGGTCAGTATGGAGTACAATAGAGGCTCTACGACCCTTGAAGTGTAGGTTGAAGTGAGTCAGATCACAAGAAGGGAATACGACAAAGTCGCCGTTACGCAAAGGAATGGTCAAACCAGGTTCATAGAGGACTAGTTCTCCGCCTTCAAAATCACCGATCGCGAGGACTACATCTGGAAAGTGGTTTTGGATGCTGTAGAAGCGTCGATGACATGTAACACTCAGTAGCCACGGAAATACATGTACAACTCAGTAGCATTGTTGACGTTGGGTAGGACTGCATAGCGCAATATACGTTCTGTAGCATGACAGATGTTGTGTAGTGCTCTGTAGAACACGCACTCGCGGGAAGGACAGACACGTCAGCCACGCGACTGCGGCAGCCACGGCAGCCACACAAGCGCCCACCTTAACGCACCTCGTCGCTTCAGCGTCGAAGAATAACACTTGAACTTCCGAACGCGGGCAGTACATACATCATTCTGGTGGATTGTGCTAAAGATTAATGTTGGGAACCGCGGTCGGTCACACAAGTTCAATAGTTTCGCTGAACGACTGCGCCACCGCGATCGGCGCTTATAATTCTAGAATTTACACGACGCGGCGCGACTCAGGATGATAGATGGGTGCTCGCTTTATGCGCTATCTGCCGTACGACAAGTTTTGCATCTTTGTCAAGGAACTCTTGATCATTCTGCAATGGATCGGGAACAAGTACACATCAATATATCAGAAACCAGTCTACGAATTTACACAGCCAAAATAGTTCAATCGAACCATACAGAAGGTATGAGGATCAAAGTACGAGTTGAAGTAGAATACCTTGCATAAGTCCGACACGTTATCTGTGGTCCAACGCCTATCGACTGCCCTCCCGAACGCTGGCCAGAGATGACAATTGCGCACGATACGGTCGACCGTAATCACTTCCCCATATGGCTTTTGCTGGCGAGTCGAGGGCATGAGAACATATTGCCCGGAATCCGGGTCGACGCGGTGGAACGGAGTCATCCACTCTACATAGGCCAGTGGATGCGACGATCGCGTGGGGTAGTGATGAGGTAGCGTGAAGATCGCTCGGATATGTGCCACACGAAGACCTGCCCGGACTGTTCAGTACCACGTGGAATCCTACAGGACGTCCGTGTACGCACCCTGCAATGGTGTACCCCTTGTCTTCTCATTCGGCTCTCCTGTGCGCACGAGCGCAAAGTCCAGGTGCGCGGCTTTGGCGGGTTGGCGCCCTTGAGCCGGCACTGGCGGACTGGCGCGGACAACGTTCTTGAGAGCGCGAGGACCAGTGGCGTCGATCAGCGGAAGACGGGTTGCAAGACGGGCATACAAGTCGAAGCCATCGAAGGGTTGTGGGGTGAAGGAGGAGTCCGAGTCAGAACCTTGGCTGCGCAGATAGGCTGTGAGCGATGCGAGGAATTGAGGTGCGTGATGCTCCTCCATAATCGTAGCTGCTGTGACACCCTTCAAAGACGTCTTCCTATGCCTTTCCGGGAACTTGTACATGGCTGTACTGCTCGCTGCGGTCACCGGTGCCACAGCAGCAGGACGATCTTGAGCCTGAGGGCGGTCAGTACCCCGGGCCTGCGCTATATTCAACGCCGACTCGGACACTTGCAGTGCGATCTCGGGTGAGTCTACCAAGGGGCATACTTCGATAGTATCCTCGTCTTGTCCAGTACCGTCTCGTGTTCGCTCGGATGCGACATCCAAGCCACCGGCAGGTCGAAGAGTCGAGGGTGATCCATCGCGGCACCACGTCAGATACCGAGCAAAACGGTCGACTGCCTCTTGACGGCGAAGCCAGGTGACCATCTGCGCGGTATAGTCCTTGTGGTTACTGGCTCGGTAGGCGTCCTTTGCGTAGTCGATGTGCAGACGCTCGGGCGACTCGGTGTTGAACCCGTCTGCAGAGCCGAACTTCAGGATCATGAGCGCGTAGTGTTCAATTGCGTGTAGCTTCGGGATATTAAAATGCGACTGCGTGCGCGCACCAAGCTCGATGAAGATGTGCTTGTACGTGTGGAAGTCGTCGAGGCTTTGTCGGAGTAAGGTGAGTGTCTCTGTTGTATGGGAGTGCAGGGCGGCGAGATTGATGAAGTCTAGAACAGCACGAACCGCACGAATAACTTGTGCGTCTGCGCGGCCGATGAGAAGACCGAGGAATACCTTCTCCATCTCCTTGTGCTCGTGCCCAGTCCACTGCGACACTGTTGAAATCCCGTGCGCGAAGTGTCGGAGCCCTGTGATGTTGCTCATCGCGCGGAAACGTGCGTCCAGCTCGTCCTCTCCAACGATTGATGTGCACCACTTGACCACATGATCCTTGAAGACGCCCTTATGGAGTTGGTGTAGTAGATCCGGTGTGAACCACTCGAATACGTTCGAATGGGGAAGATCGGCCCAGAACGGCGGGTACACTGGGCGTAAGCCGAGGTCCTTGAAACGGCTCTCCGAAGCCGCATCAAAAACACCATTCGTTGGGTTGTCTTGCTCTCGAATAAGAGACAATGACTCGCCTTTGTGACGCGCAGGGTGAGTATCGTGGTCCCCTCGGCGATCCGGAGGTACCTGACACATCGGACAACGGTTCTCCATGCAACAGGCGACAAGACACTGTTCAGGATAATCGGCCACGTAAGCAGCGACAATTGGCCATACTGAGCGATCCTGGCGGTCTGCACAAGTCATCTTCATTCCGGTACGTCCCGCTTGTGCAACGGATGCCAGCATCGTCCGCATGCAGTAGTGGAAAAGACGGTACTTCGCAGCAGGGCGTGACTTGTCGGTAAAACAATCAAGTTTTGCGACCGGAAGGTAGCCTACGAGCACGGTAGCGTGTGACGATGCTTCACGGCGAACATCCTTTGCGATATTGCCGATGGTAAGGTACACCGGCCATGCACTCTTATCGCCCCGAAACTGTGACAGTTTGGTCTTATCGGATGACAGGATGATAGGTGCGATCGTTGCGCCGTCCGGAAGTAGATTCTGTATGACAATTTTCAACAGTCTGACTCCTGGTAAAATGCAGCGGCGCCGCGTGCTCGAGAGGCTATGTCGTTACATACCTGTAAGTCCCACCACCAGTCAGCGGTCCACATCTCGTTGATCACCCGTGTCGTTCCGTTCTTATCCAGGAAATGGTGTTCCGGCGCATATCGAATGAGGTTACGGAAGAAAGGGTTCCCGATCAACTCGCGGATGCAGTCGAGCGGGTCGCGGTGCCAGAACTCGACAGTCTCCTTCATTGCCTCTCCGTTGAGGTTCTTGATATCTCCGGTGAGTTCAACAAGCTCGCACTTCCAGTCGACTCCCTTGGGCAGAGAGTCGACGTTCTGAAGAAGTCGATCTTTGTTGTGGTATGTAGGATGGACGCGATTCCGTATCTGAAGACAAATATATGCCTGTCAGGGTAGCATCAAGGGACCGGCGCCAGGGATGAACGTACGATAGGAAGCTTGAGGAAGTTTTCAGCCTGGTTATGACCGACGTTCTTGATAAGCCACTTCGCCAGCTCCCACTCCTCTTCGTCTTCAAAGGGGCCATAGACCTGATCCCCTGTCAAGACCTGCTCGTCTCGAATGCGCTCGCTACGGATCTTCTCGAACCACGTCGGTGACTCTCCAAACGACTGAGCAGCGTGCTTTTCCGCTGGGAAGTCCTGACGGTACCGTGCCTTCGGGTAGACAGGTGCGTGGTCTTCGTCAGGTATATCTTCAACCGTTGTATGCCGTTGCGGATGACTCGTTGATAGAGGCGGAGCAGCATCCATATCAAATGGTAGATCTGGCGGTGTATTGACAGGAGTAGTGGGTCGTGCCGACGACGAGTTGGGTGGTATGTGAGTATGAGCGGCATTGTCTGTGTTCTCTGGAAGTACTGAGCTGTCATGGGCAGACTCAGCTTCAAGTTCTCGTTCGCGACGGAGCCTCTGGCGCTCTTTCCAGAGACTTGTATAGCGTTCGTCTCGTTTCTCCCTGCATTCGAGTGACTGTCCTTGATGCCGTGACACAGCTGACTGGCTTTTGAATGGATGTCGGCAGTATACACAGATTGCCATTGCTGTGGACAGGAGAGACGAAATGTAAAGCAGAGACGTGTGCGCGTACTGAGTGCAGTCACAGTGTACTCACTACAACTTCCATCAATACAGGAACTTCGCGTCTGGCGAAGCGAACCTCTGGCGATCCCGCTGTTTGTTGTTGATTGTCACAACTCACAGGCTTCGCAGACCTCCTTCTACACGACACGTCTCACCGCGAGTGCGCACTACACCGAGAATGAGCTCTGCCTCTCAATTTGCCGTTGAAGAACCACAGGCACCTGAAGGTAGAGGTCACCGGAGGTCACGACCCACGGCACGCATGGAAGAATACCGTACGTATCATTGTCAACCCGTCATCATATGTACTGATAGTGGTCTCCATCACAGGCTCTCAGATAACTACATCACGGGCGCGCCGCGAAGCTCAACGGACGACTCGGGGACAATCAAACGGGCAGCTACCAGTGGGTGCTACTTCACATGCCACGTCTGACATAGTACTCACTCCGCATGCTTCGAATCCTGCACTGCAGACTGCCGGGTATGGGTCGACCTCCCGTGGTTCAAGCAGCGCTCCAACTGCTCAGCCGGAGCTCGCCGCAGAGTCGGATAATACGTCTCAGGCTCCACAAGAGCCTTCCATGACGTTCGACTGGTCAAATCCGTAAGTGTTCCGTTGCTCAAGCTCCTGCCTTGGTTCGTTCTCATACCATCATAGTAGCATGTCCTTGCAAGAGCTACCCGCCATGCCCTTGGTACCGGGGCTACCCGACATGCCCCCGATACCAGGACCGGATGCATTCAACTTCTACCCGGGATTCATGGGACCGTCTATGCTGATGTCATGGGAGAACCAGGGAGCTCTGAACAGCTCATTTGGTATGCCGACTTATTATCCAAGCTCGATGCAAGCCCAGATGCCCTCAAATGCATCTCTCTTCAATGAACTGCAGGGTATTATGCCTGTATCTCAGTCTACACGTGCCGAAGGAGCTCCGCAAGCCTCTGAGATAACCGTGACAGGACTGAGTCTGGCTCATGAGTCTGGGTCCTCTGGGACTCAGCTCGCGTCCAGCTCAGGTACCGCTGCCGTGCATAGCACCTTTTCTGACTCAGATTCAAATCTAGTGTCTCGCTCTGCAGCCGACGATGACGGTGAGTGTCTTCGGTTTCATGGCCGACCTATGATCTGTATTCTAATCATATGACTTTTGCACCTGCAGAGCCTCAGCCTGAGGAACGCTTGCACAGCACCGACAGTGATCTTCTTGATCCAGATGTTCCACGTGGAATGCAAATGGTACGTCCAACTCGAACCTATTGATAGAATAGTTGGGTTAAATTTACTATGTTTGCTGACTGTGTCGTGCCTAGATCTCATCCACCCCAGTCAGACTGCCTGGGTCGGTACGGCGTTTGGCACCACAGCGCAACACTCGGTCTGGCTCGCCGGCTGTGCCGTTAATAGTGCCAATCACAACACCTCGCCGTCGCGCTAGCTCTCCTCCGACAACTGGCGCGCCACCTACCAATACCCCAGATCTTGGTCAGCAGGCTCTACGTCGATCTCAAGTAAGTATCCCAGCTCTAAGTGTGAATGTCTGGTGTGTATTTGATCATGACCACGACATTTAGCCTGCGAGCTCGCCGACGCCCGGCGCGCAGCCAGCGCAGGTAAGCCTTTGCTGCCGCTTGCAGTGATTTGTCAGCTACTCATGTCTTCTAGGATGTTGTGCTTGGATCGCGTTCACGGACTGGCAGTCATGACAACAATGATGAATCTGACAGCGAAAAGGTGTCTCGCAAGCGGGATCGCAAAAGCCGGAGTGTCCGCACAGTGAACGATGATCGACGAAAGGTTACAAAACTCGCCTATAATCATTTTAAATTGATGTTCATTACGGAAGAGCCTTGGGTTCCGTGGCACGAGGCTGACGAGTACGCTGATGATGCGTGGGAAGCAGCATGTGTCGAGCTACAGTATGACCTTGACGAGCTGCAGCCGGATAGTGTAAGCCGTGGCCTGGTAAGTAAGATTTGTTTTGTGTACCGTTGTCAGCGGCTGACCGCTATGTGACTATGATGTCGATAGATCAAGGATCGCATCACGCAGCTCCGTGGTGCGATGAAGACAGTAGCACGCGGCTTGCTTGCTGCGCAGTACGGATTCAAAGACGGCCGCTCAGATGCAATCAAAGCACATAATCGAGAGCTTGTTGCATGTCTGAAGGCTGGTAAGAACCGTCCATTCTCACATATCGTTGAGTTATACACTTCTTGTGCCACTGCACGCTCTAGCTCATTATTCTTGTAGGATCCACGCAATCCGACGACTGCATGTCGTAACCCCATATTCGCTGACACTCTGGCGAAAACGTGCAAGTGGTTTTCAGATACCAAAGGAGACGGTTATTGCTACAAGCAGTACTTCACGCCGGGGAAGCCCATGCAAGTTTTGATCGCTCAGCTATTGACAACGGTGCGTCTCTGTGTCTGCGCATATCAGGGAGTCTTCGATTGTGACAATTGGGGTATGGAGCAGGTTGAATGTGCGATTGATGAATGGAAGACAGGAACCTTCAAAGAAGTAGACTTCCGCGAGAACGTGTATGCAAGTATCTACCAGAAGCATCTTTCCTGGCTCATCGAGTGGGAGAAATACTCGAAAGATCGGTCGCAGGCTGACCTTCGCATGCAAGAAGACTTGATCCGTTCACTCCGGTGCGTACTAAGCCTCTGCACAGTTACCTTCGACTATATGTACTCATACACAGTTTCAGCATCAGGGCTGCAGGTGGTGATATGGACGAACTGGGAGGAGATGAGACGGATAATGCTCATGTGGAGTATGATTTCTCCCAATTTGAGTGATACAGACACAATGGGTATTCTGTCGTAGACGTTACGCCGGCACATACTCGCAGTACACTTTGTTGATGAACGAGCATTGAACGCAATAAATCTATTGCTAATGGTTACTTCGTATGTGCTTATTGTGACGGATAGTGTGACTCGGAACACGGAACAAGCCGTAAGCCGTACCGAAATGCTACATGGCACGCCGCCGGTGCAGACACTACACTAACACCACTACACCGACAGAACTATGCTATAGTACCTACATGCTCTACACTACGACCATTCTGTAGCATGAATTCGTTATGCAGCCCTACATAAAGTATAGGCAGCCTAGTGCCCTACAGTGCCCTACACGCACTACATAGGTTTATATAGGGTCTTGACACTTTCCAGATGTAAGCACATGCTGTCATCCTTGCTATCCCTGTGAGCCGCAGTTGAGACGTTGAGGTTGATGACCAAGCCCAGAAACGGCGCAGAGACTGCCTGGTTGTTGCCAGGCAGTATAGACGCGTATGCGTCTAGTCGCTCGTATACATCCGGGATCATCGCCTTGAACTAATAAGGGCATCAAATTCTCTGTGGGAGATACAAACGAGGCAATTCATTCACCTTCATATCCAGCCACTCGAACACTGGACCTAGGATTTTCTTCACGGACTGGTAGATTGAGACGTTCGTTGAGTTCGCCATGTCCTTGGAGGGGTACGGTATCATTTGATGGTAGTTTGTCTTCAAACCACCAGTCCTCTTCAAGTTCATAGGAGGTACGTCAGGCGGAGCGTTGTGTCCCTACAGACGTATGTGAACTGTCATTGAGGAAGATCCAAGATTTATAGAGCACTTACAGTCATGCAATGACGGTTGTACCAGGAGAAATGAAGTGCCTGGAAGACATGGTCACCGCGCTCCTGAGCGGTATCAATTACCTTCAGAGCGTCGGGCTCAAAACAATCGGCCAAGCGATCGATGAGACGATCTCGCATGCTTTGCTCCATAGACTTGCATATGCTGGCAAAAATGTCCCCGTGGCAAGAGTGTACGGTGAGTACGTCGCTATTGGAACAATCGTCAGCCTCCCCGAACTCCTGAGTATTGTGTCTCCTACTCGTAGAGGCCAGGGTTGATGCGTATGTATCCAGGCCCTACGCGTACGCCATTGACATACGCTTCCGGTAACTACAGAATCAGGGCTGTTAGAACGACCCCTGCGGTACGTAGGATGCAACTTACCAGCCTCCTTAACCCGTCGACAGTTGACGGTTCTACTGCGTCCTTAGCGAATTCTCTTTGAATTTCCGTCCATCTCGAGTTCTTCTGTCTGTCCGACGACGCTACACACTGTCGATTGGTGGCTTGCTGAGGGTCAAACAGTGAAGTGACGCATGTGACCTGCGTCGTCAGGAGAGGCACTGTCAACTTGAACGCTGGCTGCGCTAGTGACTGAAAAGCGGCCCAGGCAAGGGAAGAGCGAGGAAGAGCTCGGAATGAACTGCATTCTCTTATGTCAGCATTGAGTATCTGAGTCATGCACCGAAACATACTTTGAGGGCAGAGCGTCGAAGAGACGATCAGATGTGCTCAGATCGCTGCACAGGGTCTCTGCAGAGATCGCCAGCTCTGAGAGCAAATTCGTCGAGAAAAATTCACCGAGTTTGACGGGGCATTGTTGGCTGAGAAACGCCAGCGTTGGTATGATGGTGCTCTGGACAAGTCGTCCTGCAGAGCTCTCTGTGATTGGCAATGTTCAGTACTATATGGAACAACAAAAGTCTGTACACTCACCGCTATTCGGGTTACGAAGTATATTTGCGAGATCGTACGCTATATTGCCGTCTGCCTCAATGAATGGCGTTCGTAGATCAGTGTAGGCCAGCCAGAGCAGCATGTAGAATGATCCTTGAAGTCGTCAGCACATCATCAGTCTCTCGTCACGGTCGCCGCTACTAGAATCTCACCTCCTGCGGCAAGCGATATGAGCTTGCTACCACCGGCGTACCAGTACTGCAGAGTTCGCACAGATGGTGAGTTGGCATCTTGGCTCAGGTGTTCTCTGTGTAGGGCAGCGAGGTTGACGGATTCTTTCCAGTTAGACAGACTAGATATCAGGATATGTCAATAAATAGGTACAGTGAACCGTGAGTACACCCTCACCTTGCACACTTGAAGCTGAGTGTTATGAGCGCAACGATAAAGTGGAGGTGGAAGACTGCAGTCGAGTTTGCCGTACGGATGCACCTCTGGGCAATCTCAGACAGGGTCTCGCTCCCTCCGCCGTATGATGCTTGATGCGCTGATAGCAGAACACCCCCACATCGGCTGATATCATGCTGCAAGTCGTACGCTGTGAGCGTTTGCAAGAAAATGTTGATCGTGGTGCTCCTAGCCTCATGTGGCTGTGATGCCAATTCCCAAGCAGCAGCCGGCTGATTCTGAGGTGCAACGTACTGTGTTCCATTTCGGGGACAGGGCGCCAGAAGGGGGTAACGAGCTGGTGCAGGCTGAGCAGCCTGCTTCACTCGAGCAGGTCTTGACGCAGGGTCATATTGCGTCTGAGCCAGCTTCCGCCGAGCCTCGGAACGCTTCTGAGTGCTCTTTCCGCTCGGCTGGACTTGTGAGATGCCAGGAACTATGAAGAGCGGGAAACTGATATCAGAACGTTTGAGACTGATGCTTCAGCAGAAAACACTCACCTTGTGATGTCAAATACAGTGGTCCAGGAGGCGTAGCCTCGGAACGCTTCCGAGTGCTCTTTCGGCTCGGCTGGACTTGTGAGCTGTCAGGAACTATGAAGGGCGGGAACCAGGTATCAGAACGTTTTAGACTGATGCTTCAGCAGAAGACACTCACCTTGCGATGTCGAAGACAGTGGTCCAGAAGGTGTGACGGTCTCTGTTTCTGTGAGTTCTACAAAGATATATAGAGGTTCAAGTGTATTCGGAGCATTGAAAGCAATAAACTGTACCACGTTGCAGTCGCATTAATAGTGACTGCATATTGGGACTCAAAGTTGACGTCGGAACGGACACCAGGATCCCGGTTAGTTCCATAATCTCGGCAATATTCAACTGCATTCCTGTCTGTTCATGGTGCTAGTCAGATATGTCATTATCAGTGCCATGGTAGGCAGGCCTACCTTCCTGGTTGAGTAAATATTGAAGAGTGTGGAAGTTGGGATTTGAATGCCCCAGATGAACGCAGGCCTTGAAGCGAAAGGCCTGAGCTGCGCGGGACAATCGGACCGCAGCGCGGCCCGCCAGGAGGGGGTGGCGTGGTTTTTTCCCCGATACGCAACGCGTTGCGCATCGGGGAAAAAACCACGCCACCCCCTCCCGGCGGGCCGCGCTGCGGTCCGGCACGGCACTTGCACTAGGAGGGTAGGGAGGGTGGAAAGCGCACGGCGTTTTGCCTTCTCCAAGGTCTGCATATGCTTAAAACGCGTAATAGCTTCATCAAAGATTGTATATAGCCTGCGTGGTGGGTAGAATGTACAAATGACGATACCGAAACAATACCCTACACGAGCGAAGGCACTACGAACGACTGCAAGATAGGACGACTGCGAGATACGACAATACCGAGGGTACGAGAGCACAAGATAGCGTAGTCAGAGCAAGATGCATACAGTGAGCGCAACAAGAAAGGGCGATGTCCACGATGCACGTACGAAAAATGATATGAAAGCGATATGTACAGAAGCGACATGTGAATAGTGGTACAAGTACAACCCTGCTGGCAAACGGTGGCGAAACGCCAACAGGAATTCACCAACAACTTACTCTTCGCCCGTCCGAGCACGTTTGATAGCCCTAATGCTCTCCGCGGTCGGAAGCAATGCCCGCAAGTCACTGATGAAGGCGTCATCGACGGCATTGGAGAGGTTTTGGCGACCAAGGATGGGCAGCGGCTCTCGTGCGTTCTCCCCCCCCGGCGCCGTCAGCCCATGCTTGGACGCGAGCTCATAGACAAAGGACCTGAGGCGGTCTTGGGCTGTCGAAAGAGCCCCAAGGCGGCCCTTTTTACGCATGGTTTTCATCGCGTCGTCCAGCGAAGGCCGTCCCGGTGGCTTCTCTTCCAGTCGAGCTTGTTGTGTTCGTGTTGCAAAGTGTTCCAAATCATCCTCGCCGATCTTGTATTTCAACAGAAATTGTAATCGACCTGCAGCGCTGGCCTTTCCAATGGCGCGGACGCACCCTTGGAAGACATGATCCGTGGTGTTCTGCATTCGCACATCCCAATGTTTACTGAAGGCATTGTAAGCGCCGAGTTTGACGTGCTTCGACCCTGGCTTGGACGTGAAGATCGGCTGGTACGTTCTGTATCAGCGGAGTGCAGTGCATGGAACCACGGGCACGTACAATCGCAATCCCTTTCTTCTCCCAGTGGACTGGAGTCACTTTAGGGAGCGCTCCCAATTCTCCCACCACCTGCCTATCCTCAGGCATATTGAGATCGGCGCACAGAAGCCAAGCACGGTGACGGTGCATGAAGATGTGATTGTTGATTGTGTACGTGGCAGTGAGCCAATTCTCGCCTGGTGCACCCAGGTCGCCGCCGCGGACAATCGTAATCGCAGGGTCCCGCCTGATGTACAGCTTGTTGTAGACGTCGATCCAAGATTGTGCCCAATCCTTTTCGTCCAGCCGCACCTCGTCTGAACGAAGGTTCCTGAGGTAATGCTGGTACTTCGGAGAACTGTACTCCTTCTCCTCCTCGATCTTCACAAAGACGATCAGGGGCTTTTGGTCGTCAGGGTGGTCGGCGTTCATGTACTCAATCAACTAGAAGGGCCGCCGGCCATGAGTGTTGTCACTTTGAACACGTATGAATGTAGACTTACGCTAAACGTCATGGAGGTCGCATCCTCGCTTTTGCCAATCTCGCCCAAACCAACGACAAGCCCGGCTATGTCCGCTGAAAGAAAGGTGAGAAAGATGGCGTTGTCGGGGATGTGATTGAGAGGCTGCTCGGGAGGCGCGACAGGTTGGGACGCTTTGGCTTTAGCTCGGGAACGCTGCGGTGAGGACGGAACAACAGCGGATGATTTGGATCCCGAGGCACCAGCCTGAGGGCTTCCGGCGTGACGGTCGGCCGCGGCGTGAGAGTCGTCAGGCTCAGTGTCGGTGGCACGACCGTCGGGCTGTGCATCCTGGCGCTTTCTCTTGCCCTTGGCCGACTCGGAGGATTTCTTGCCTTTCTTCGACTCCCCTGTCGCCTTTGCCACCTTATCTGCCGCCTTCGCCTCCTCCCTGGCCAGCGCTGTGGCTTCTCTTTTCTTCTTCTTCTCGGCCTCCTTCCAGGAGACCGACATTGCATATGTTGTTCTCCAACGAGGGTCGTCAGGGTCGGGTGTCGGCCCCTTCAAGGTGTAAGCATTGTTCACTACGATCTCAGGCTCAAATTCCCCTATCACCACGATCCCTGCCCGTGCTGTCTCACAGAGCGTCTCATCCGTTCCTTGCACATAGGCCTGGTGAATTTCGCTCGCAGAAGACATGTGGATAGTGTGTTTTTGGTGGTCGTACGTGAAACTATCGTTTCATTATGTTAGCATCCGTGCCCTGGCTGACGTGCCATACTCACCTGAAAAGCTTGTATGGGTACGGATCGGATTGAATGTGGAGATAGAGAGCGATCCAATCGCTTAAACTAGCTTCAACGGTCTACGCAATACTTAGCGACTGGCAATACCCGTAGTCTTGGACACTTACCTTGTCAACCCCACAGATGTAAGGCCAGCGAGGATCGTCGAGGAGGTGCCCAAAGATATGCTGCAGCGGATTGATCTCAACAGCTATGTCCGGGAGTTCGAGCTCGCTGGAAGCAGGGCTCGAAACGTTCGCACTGTGCGTGCCGCCGGACTCAGAGCTCGGGGGGTCTGAATAATTAACTGTGTAGACATCGTCAGTGGTACGTGGGCGATGGGCGGGATCTATGGGGACTTACCGGGCGAAGGGTCGCGATGGTCGGTGACAACAATTGCACCGTCGAGGGTCAGTGAGGAAGTATCTTCCCGAGCGAGCTGGCGATGCAGGTGAGTGCAAGAGTCGGGATCCTTGGAGGAACACAGATCGATGGGGATGTGCACGTAAGACATGGGGGGTGAGGGACGGAGCGACCGCGGGACAGCTTCTGGAGAGTGACTCGAGCGAAGACCAGGGTCCTGACACGCGCTATATACTTAATGCAGCCTGGGAGTTGCCTGGGAGAGGCGATACTACGGCCGGCCACTGCCCCCTTTGTTTAAATCGTTGGGCAACCACCCACACGTGGAGCGCCGCGGCGGCACGGGGTATGCCCCACGATTGGTAATCAAACGCCACCGAGCGGTGTCATGCCCCAAAAGGAAAGGGACAAGAGGCAGTACTCACTTTGAACAATGAACTTCACGAACTTCACGCGAAAGCGGTCGGTGGTGGAGGAGAGAGAAAGAAGTGCGTGCGGTCCGAGCGCGGAAATAGCGATGAATGGAAGCCCGCAATCACCTGACATTAGGTACGTAAGGGCGGAAAAGACGGACATCATCGAACGAAGGGCGTCATAGAGCCCTCCTTGACTTTCGGCGAGTCCTGCGTGCCACTGCTAGTTACAGAATACTCATAATCGTGTATAAAAATCTTGCACTGATAATACAAAACATTAGGGGTGATGGATATGATACAATGTCCGGTGGTGGAGGAGGTAGAGGTGAAATCAAGAGGAGAGTACCGTCCCGAGGAAGATGGAGGAGTGAACTTGCCTGCGATCACCTGACAAGAACAGGAGAGCCGAGGAGTCCGACAGAGTTGAACACGACGGGCGTCGCGCGCAGTATACAACCTTCCGCTTCCGCGACAACAGTGAGTTTTGCGTGCCGCTACTGGTTATCAATACTCATAGCTTTTATAGAGATGGTAAAGAGGTCTTTAGAAGACATCCTCGGGACCACTTGCGCCGCCTGCAACCACACATTCAAAACCGTACAAGGCCTTACCTCGCACCAGTCAACAAGCCGAAAATGCGCCTGGTACAAGAAGGGAAAGTTGAAACAGGTCTTTGATTTCAACGATTCGGATTCGGACTCTGAAGAGGATGGAGACGACGTCGAAATATCCGGGTACAGTGAACCTGGTTTCAATAGGTACGTTAAGGTCTGCAATTGGTCCGTCAGCTTTCTCACTATTCCAACTTGCAGTACTGGCAGCGGTGCTTCCTCTAGCGTCTTGGCAAGCCGACGTTCCACGAGCCCGGGGCGCAATGTTCCTGACCAGGAAGACGATGACCTGGGCTCTGTCTTTGACTTCATCGGTATCTCAGCCCCTCAACCAGCGGCTGCAGGTGAAAACAACGCGGAGGCCGGTCCTTCATCTAGGCCACTGAGAAGGACTGCAATTGCGCTGGATGACGATGAAGACACACGAGTTGAGGAGGTGGATGAAGAAGCGGCGAGAGTGCTCCGCATGGTTGAAGACGCGGGTGACGTGTGGAGCAGGGGCGGAAGTGCCAAAAAGAGGCGTACAGAAACTGCAGAGGATGAAGGTGAGTACGACGCGGTAGATCAATGGATTCTTGTAACGCATCTGTGCAGATAGAGACTTGGAACATGCCGGTGATGACAATCCCTGGGATCCTTTCAACTCAGAGATGGATTGGAAATTTGCATCGTGGGCCATCCAGGAGGGCCTCACGCAAACTTCCATTGACAAAGTTCTTGAGATTCCCGGTGTGCGTATACTTCTTTCTCTTCCCTTCGGCTCCTTGATTCAAGCCACCGCAGTTCCGGGACAGACTCGGCCTTTCCTATCACAATTCATACACACTTCTTCAACGAGTCGACTCTCTTCCAGAACGCGCGGAGTGGAAAGAGCGTTGGCTAACGTTCAAGGACCGGCCAAACGAGAAGCATCTTGTCCAGTACCGCGACATCATCGAGGCCATACGAACCCTCCTCGGTAACCCCGAGCACGCTGACCGTATAGTCTACTGACCGCGCCGCATATTCACTGACGCGTCTCGCACCAGCCGCATCTACCATGAGATGTGGACAGGGCGGTGGTGGCATGCCATTCAGGTGAGTTTGTCAATATTTTTCCAGTGTATCCGGCCTTGACGTTCCACTCAGAGTCTCTTACCAGTGGGTGCAGCAGTGGCCCCGGTGATAATTGCAACAGACAAGACTCAGTTGACGCGGTTCTCCGGGAGCAAGGCCGCGTATCCAGTGTACATGACCCTAGGCAACATCCCTCGCGCCCTTCGCCGCAAACCTTCCGAACACGCCTGCATCCTTATTGGTTACCTGTCTGTCGACAAGGTCAGTTCTGATGGAATCACGCAGCGCAAGCAGCGTGCCCTCATGCAGCAACTATTCCACTCGTCCGTTCGCGTCATCCTCGAACCTTTGATTGAGGCCGGCAAGAATGGGATCGACGTGACTGGAGGCGACGGCGCCGTCCGCAGAGTCCACCCCATCCTCGCCACGTATGTCGCAGACTTTCCCGAGCAGTGCCTTGTTACCTGCACGAAGTACGGAACGTGCCCCAAGTGCCGACTACCCGAGGCTGATCTCGACGCTGCTTCCCCAGGAGTGCCAAGGAGTGCGCTTTGGACTCTGGACGTTCTACGCCTTGCAAGGAAGAAAAGCGGCGGAAACACCAACTCAGCAACGTACGCGAGGGCGTGTACCAGTCTCGACGTCTCCGGATACGTCATACGCCCTTTCTGGAGCGATCTCCCCTTCACCGACATCCACTCGTGCATCACGCCCGACATTCTCCACCAGCTCTACCAAGGCGTGTTGAAGCACATCGTCGAGTGGTGCAGCGACCTCATCGACGAGAACGAACTGGACCGTCGAATTCGCACCCTTCCCCCCGCATTCGGGACTCGTCACTTTGCTAACGGGATCACTTCTCTGTCCCAAGTATCCGGTATGGAGTCCAAGCAGATCGCACGCATCCTGCTGGGATGCTTGGTCGGCAAGATTCCTCAGAACGTCATGCTCGCGTTCAGATCTCTACTCGACTTCATCTATCTCGCGCAATACACCACCCACGATGACTCCACCCTTCAGTACATGGAAGACGCCCTCAAAATCTATCACAAGAACAAACAAGCTCTGGTCAATCTTGGCGTGCGCGAACACATGAAGATCCCGAAGTTCCACTCCCTCCTCCACTACGTCGAATCAATCCGGTTGCTTGGTGCAACAGACAACTACAACACGGAAGCCTTCGAACGTCTTCATATCGACTATGCCAAGAACGGCTGGAGGGCGTCGAACCATCGCGACGCGCGTCCTCAGATGGTCCGATGGCTAGCACGCCAGGAGAAGATGATCATGCTCAGCTCTACCATTCGCAGGAAGCTACAGATCGACGAGGATCCGGACGAGGACGCTGCCTTTGCATCTGAAGACCCGGACCTTTCGACCAAGCGCCACACCCAGATCAAGCTGCCAAAGAATCCAAGCGTACCGCTCCAGTCCATCAAGCTCGTCGAAGAACGTCACAATGCACCCGGTTTTACACACGCACTCCTCCAGCATATCTATACCCTCAAACTCGGTCGACGCCTCACTCCGACTGAGCTTCAGACCGCGTCGTCCAACTTGCCGTTCAATCGCGTCGACGTTTTCCACGGATTCAAGTTCGCTCCCCAGCCATTGACTGACGACAAGAACGAGACCGACGTGGTGAAGGCGCGTCCAGCATGCGCCAAACAGCCTGCCCGGTTTGATACAGCAGTCATCCTGCAGGAGAGTGATGCAGAGACGACCGGCCTCCAAGGTATGTCACCGACTCGCGTTCAAATGAATATCTGTTTACTCAAAGACGCATGTCGCTCAGGAACAAGAATAGGACGAGTCAAGGTCATCTTCAGACTCCCGCAGCGCATACATGATCCGCGGACCAGCGTTGCCTTGCCTGCGCCTGCGTCCTGGCCAGATCAAGGGCCACTAGCGTATGTGGAATGGTACTCCAAGCTCGCACGTACAGCCGACCCAGTCCATATGATGTATGCGGTCAACAAACCCGCTCTCAGGGCCAACGGACATCCCCAAGGAGAGATAATACCTCTCAGCATGATACGGCAGTCTTGCCAACTGATTCCCAAGTTCCCCGGATCAGTGGGAGATTCTCCTGAGCATCTACCAGAGGAATGGACGACTCATACTGTACTGGATTGCGCTTCAAAGTTCTTATTGAACAATTGGACCTCTCACTACGCATATCAAACACTTTGGTAGTCATTAGCTAGCTTACACGTACTCCAGGGGTCTTAATGTAGAGCACTGAAGCTGCATGGCTCGAGTCTTGAAAACAAGGCGCAAATCTCAAAGGTACTTCATTTCCCTTCAGCGGTCTTCAGGTGCATACTGCACTCGTTTAAGGTGCACAAGTTACCAGAGGTCGCTTAAGATCGCATGGTTCTTATTTAAGACCTCTGAAGTAAGAAACGTTTTTCCTGATGACTGAAGTTGTACCTCCATTATCCGTCTTCTTCGCGGTCTTTGACGTCTGTGCCAACTTAGGCTTGCGACCTTTCGTTGCTGCCGTGCTAGTGCCAGACCAGTCAGCATGTATAAGGACAAGGACCCCATTAACTTAGGTAATAATATTCTCCGTGGCCTTCTCCTCTGCGTCACGGCGAGCCTTCGTAAGCCTAAGCCTCTTCATGGCAGGCTCAACGGCCGCTATGTTGTCCATTACATCTGTCTTTGCGCCGTCACGAGCCCTTGTGGCCCTTTTCTTGGGCAAGGCCTTATCTGCTGTGGTATATGGTATATGTTAAGTCAGCAGCACAAGCAAATAGAAATCATGACAGGACGTACCATTGCTTGCAGAATCACCTTTGGGCACCTGAACAACCTCCCAACCCTCCTCCTGATCCATCTGCATCAGTATGGCCACTGGGGCATCCACCGGGTCAACACTCGACTCCTCGTCAGAGGTGTTGTCCTGGTCGCTGGTGCCCACATCCTTGTCCATGTCCACGTCCTTATCAGTAGTGTTGGCAGCACCGTCCTGGTTGCCCATGTTTCCGTTTGTTACGCAAAGCGTGACACCTAGAGCACTAGCTCTCAACCTAACCCTAAACGTAGGGACCTTAGGTTCTAATCGTCCTTGGATGGGGAGGATGGTCTGAGACACTGCTAAGTCCGTCTAGCAGGTCAAGCGGGGAGTTTCTGATATCCAAGGAGCTGGTGAAGCTTCAATAGATAACCAGGTCGAACTGAGGTTCGACCGCTACTGTACACAGGTCTTATATACATGAGGAGTTCAGGGCAGGTCCAGGACAAGTCACCACTACCTAGCCAATAGGAGCGCAGGGAAGTGAGTCATGACAAGTCAGGGACCGAGTCATCAACGATGAGTCATGTATGAGTAAGGGAGGAGTCACAACGAATCATACTGAGTCAAAGAGCATGTGAACTGCCCGGGTTGGACCGGAGCGAACAGCGAAGGAGTCCAAAGACTGGAAGCGTAGCATCATGGGGTTGGGCCCATGTTAAGGTAGTACAACGGTCGAGCACAAAACAGAGAAAAACGAATGTTGACGTGACATAAGCCCCTTCCTAGAGTCAACATCCTTGTCGACTTCTCTAAGCTTGATCAGGCGGGGGCAAGAATGTTGTACTCCCATCACGATGCCTGCGGAGTTGAGCAACCGCGATCCCCGAGTCGGTAGAGACGAGGTCCAATACCGTGGACTCCGGCGAAGGTTGGAAGGATGACGTGGGCGAAGTGGTTAGTTGGTGGAGAGGAATGCGGTCCATCATCAGGAAAAACCGATCTGTCTTGCCAAGCCTTGCCAAGCCATGTGATGTCTTCTCAAGGTACATGAGGCCAAAAAGGCCAAAAAGACAAGTCGTTTCCTTGTGACCCCCAAATGTAAGCCACCCAAGACAGCCATGTCCTTGGGTACCTTGTGCTAAGTCATTTAAGCCAGTCAGTTAACATCAGGAAAATACTCCCCTGGGAATTAGCCTCAATTGTCCGAGATTCTCAGTAACGGACGGAATGTTTGCAAATACGGAAATATTCGTAGCCATTATGAGTAGTATTCTGGGAATTGTACTGCCGTTATGGCATGCCAATAACAATGTGTTCTGCTCAGTAATGACAGTGTCATGTACACGAATACAAGATCCACTAGATAACAAAGCGTCGCATCTGGATTTGTTGCGGACTCGGATGACCGACTTCAATACAATCATCTCCGGTAATCCTGCCATATATTGCTTGATCACTTAATGTATGATACATCAACTATCGACTACTACTGGGGGTTAACTGCTTCGACACTATCCATGCTATCACAAAGCCAACCTCCTCCCGTTCTGCGGCGGCAGCGTGCAAAGCACTGGGAAATGCCAGGTATCCAACGGCTGACCCGTACCCTTCACAGTGGGTACGAGTCCTATGCAAGTCAGTATGGGACATGCAGGCTGAGAGTGGGCTCGCTGATGAGCGGGCACATGGATGCACACAACGGCTGTTCATACCACCCTGGCAGCACCGCGCGTCATACAACTGAGTTACACCCGGCGCATCTCAAATCATCACGCTCGCTGACTGGAAGTCTGATGTCACGGCGGCGAACAGCGATGATACATATGGAGGGATGATGAATACTCACACAGAGTGCAGTACAGGCCATTGCTCGCGATTTTCGAGCGTGAGGCGTGAGATGCGTGCAAGGGGTGAACAAGCCACAGAAGGGGTGAAGAGGTGCAGTACTGTACTGCGAGAGCTTACCTAGAGTACCGAGAACCTCACGCGGCGTGGCGCGCGAGCATGATAACTGTACTTGTCGATGTGTTCGATGGAGTCAATATTCACGAAGTGCAGAAGGTCCATGAGAACGTACGGAGCGAGCTGCGAGACAAAACTCGACCTCGTCTCTACCCATGCCCGCCGTTCGCTCGCGCTCGACCTCGTGCGTGTGGCATGTGTTCGTCGGCCGTGCCTGCATACTGGGCGTTTGCGAGCATCGTGCAGCACTTACCCCGCCTTAGAGCCGGTGCGCGATGGGCCAGATAGTATGAACGTGAGAGCAGGACACAAGAGTGCGGGAGCAAGGGTAGGACACGAGAGCGTGAGGGGACGAGAGCATGAGGGGGACGAGAGTACGCCGAGGGAGCACGGGCGAGGCCGTGTACATGACTGCCAGTCTTGAGGCTGGCTGTCAGTCTCGAGGCTCGCGCTCAGGGCGGCAATTCCGGCGGGCTCAGGAGCACAGACGGCGGCAACGAGGTGAGGGTAACAGTGGCAGGCTGACAGTGACATGGCGTGAGCAGCGAACGGAAAGTTCTAAGCGCTCAAGCCGGGATCTTCCGATGCAGGTGCTTGTGTCCGTCCAGCGCACAAGTGCTGACAGCTCCTCCTCCCTTCACTCCCTCCTCCACGGCTGACTCCCTTTCCACGGCTGCTCGCCCGCCACTCGCCCGCGCAACCTCAAGGTCCCGAAGCGCGGCCGTTCCATGAAGAGACAGGCCCATCATGGGCCTGTCAGAGCTACAGGTGCGCCTGTTTGACACGTCAGTCGACCACAGGGCGCGCCCCGACCAGCTCCTCCACGACAACGGCCTCTAAGGCCACCATGTATGAGTAAGTCGACTTCTGTCCCTCCTTCCCGACCACCGCCGTAGGCCGCGCGGAAACTGACCTTTCCCAGTTACACCCTCATGGTCGCTGGTCGTTGCAGTGGCAAGACATCCTTCCTCCGGCTCCTCCTTGACAGCAGCGCCTGTTCCCGTTCCCTCTCGCATGACCAGCTCATGCTCGTTGCAAGGTTCGTCTAGGGCCGCCGGCCACACCCTGCACGTCTGCTTTGCCTCCGTCAACGTCGACCTGGTACCCACTGAGGGTGAGAACAGCCAGCTAACCGTCAAGCTCGTCGACACACCGTCTCTCGACTTTCTCTCGACTTTGTTGACGACGCCGCGTCCCAGCGCGCACTGATATCATGTGGTACGTAGATGTGCACTACACGGAAAGATTGACAACGTGAGTTACTTATCTTTATCGCTCTCAAACACGTTGTCCAGACCGGATTCTTTTGCAGGAGTGAACGGTGCGGACAGGGAACCGTGGACCTGTGCAATATTGACCCGAGGAGCATGTTCAAGCATTTTGCCCCCATTGCCTACTGCGCGCATCTCGCCCGCCCAGTGAGTGCGCGCATGTTGCTGCTGTCGGCTACTGATGCGTCTCTTCTTCTCGCATTTGCGTGACATACTTGCACACAGATGTAACTTAGAGCAGGTACGTCATCCAACGCCGAGCGTCCTGCCCATCGGTCCGCCGTGCTCGCTTATTCCCAACTCTCAACAACACTATGCTGCTCACCGTAGTGCTCGGGCAGGCTGTGTCAGGGTTCCGGCTCTATGACTGCTGTAGTAACAATGTTCAATTCCATAGGATATGTGTTAGACTGTATTGCTGTATCATTACGTACTTTATTTGACAATATACTGCCTTTCGAGGATTGAACGGTGCGAAGAATATTCAAACGATGTCATGAATAAATTGTGTATACACTAGAATAGCTTGACAATGTATGTGTCATGCCTCCGAATTCCATGGTATTATTCAGAATGCATTCTTGGACCCAAGGGGACTAGGGATCATTGAGAATTATCGGAATTGGACGAATGCATTATTTTATTGCCCATTCCTACGATTCTGGTGGTTAGGGGGTAGGTTAGGGGGAGCGAGCACGCGAGCGTTAGCGAGCTGCGAGCGACCTAGGCAATGGGGGGATGGGGACTCCATCCTCCGACCCATTTCGCTCTTTTATAGAGCTCATCAGGCCTTACACTCTGGTGACTAATCACGATTATACTGCACGACTCAGCGCGGGCCGGGCCGCGTGCTGAGCAAATACATCTTACACATAGGATGACTAAAGACCAATGCCATCGGTCAGCCGAGAATCCGGGCCGCTTACTGAGTCCCAATGACCTGAAGTCTAGGCCGGGTCTGGATTCTAGATTGACGCTCTTATCTTATCTCGCTAACGCTCGTGTGGCATGTGCCGCTCCTTATCTCTGATTACCGGCCGGACCGAGGGCCCGCTGATTAAGCGGACCGGTCCGGCCCTGACACGTGATTCCTCATCACGTGACCGTCCCAGTTAGGGTCCGGTTAGGTTCGGTTATGAGTCGATTTCGACACCCTAGGTTGGTCTAGGTTGGTCAAAAAACCTAAGCCTAGCAGGCACCTAGCCCTCTTCCATTGCACACCACAGCAATGCATGTGAACATCAATCATGCCGCACACGATGTGCAGCACACACAATGCATGCCGCAATGACAAATGATGTGCGACGTGGGCGCGCCTTGCGCTGCGCGATCTGCACGACTCCGTGCCGCGCGACAAATGTGCGTCATTGCCGTACGTGTGCACGGCCCTCCTTTGCAAACCCACCATGTGCGACGTGGGCGCGCCTTGTGCTGCGCGATCTGCACGACTCCGTGCCACGCGACAAATGTGCGTCATTGCCGTACGTGTGCACGGCCCTCCTTTGCAAACCCACCATGTGCGACGCGGGCGCGCCTTGCGCTGCGCGATCTGCACGACTCCGTGCCGCGCGACAAATGTGCGTCATTGCCGTACGTGTGCACGGCCCTCCTTTGCAAACCCACCATGTGCGACGTGGGCGCGCCTTGCGCTGCGCGATCTGCACGACTCCGTGCCGCGCGACAAATGTGCGTCATTGCCGTACGTGTGCACGGCCCTCCTTTGCAAACCCACCATGTGCGACGTGGGCGCGCCTTGCGCTGCGCGATCTGCACAACTCCATGCCGCGCGACAAATGTGCGTCATTGCCGTACGTGCGCCTGCCACTCCTTTGTCGTGCTCACTGTCGGGCCCGCAATCATGCTTGCAGTATAGCAGACGATGCGCTACTCAATTGTGAATACAGTAGCACAGAAACGAGCGGTCGCACATTACTTCTTGCTAGTTACAGTCGTTGCCTTCATGGCCGCTGACTGATGAGTAGCCCCGACATGACCTGGTGCAGAATTTGGACCAGACAACTGATCGGTTTCTTCATACTGTGAAACAGTCTTCTGACTGTTTCACAGTATGAAGAAACCGATCAGTTGTCTGATCCGAATTCTGCACCAGGTCATGTCGGGGCCACTCATCAGTCAGCGGCCATGAAGTAGGGCTTGATCATTTTAGGTGTGTCAGTCGCACATTCACCTGGTAGCATGCACCTTAAGGGTGTGCGCCATTATCGTATACTGTCGGTGGAGCAGCTGGGTGGTTTGGGTTGCATTGCAATTGTGCTGACTGGTTTCATCATGATTTGAGCCAACGCGACATTGCGATTACCACGATCGACCTTGATGGAGGACCCTCCTGCAAGCTAGGACATTGTCGCACAGGGAAAACAGCGCTGTAACGCTTGTGCGATTGGCAGATGACTCGGTCGCAGGCCAACTGCGCGGTGTGCGGCATTATCGTACACCGTCTGGGGAAAGACCATGTGGGGTGGTTCGGTATGCATTGCGATTCCAACAGACGGGAGTCATATTGATTTGGACCGATACATCTCGATCGCCGGGATCGCCCGCCGGCGGGGCGGGTGCCTTGTTTTGGCACAATCTGGCGGGTTGAACTTTCCTGGCTAATGCACCATCCCGTGGGGAGAACGTTCAGCTCATGGTGCCTTGGAGTTTGCCCAGATGTCGTTTTCAAAGTTTAGCCGGTTCTGTCTATATGAACCCCCTGTCTCAGCGCAGAGTCACCCTCCCCTCCCCCCTCTCCTCTTTCCCCTCATTGCCTCACGCCCTCAGTTTGCAGCGCACAGACATGGCGCCATGGACGTCGTCTCAGACGTTCTTCGACGTGATGGTGTCGCAAACCGACTTGGTGAGCCGGGGTGCGTGGCAGATTCTTACGCGGTCGGACGGCGGTCTGCCCTGGGAAGATGGTCATGTCCCTACGACGTGGCTTGAGGGCCATCAACCCAAGCTCGCCAAAGTGAGGTCGTTTGTGTCGCGCTACAAGGCGATCAGCACCGAGATGGCGAAGCGCGACGCGCTGAGGACAAAGGCAGACAGTGACAGCGAAGGTCGCACTGCGGTGCTTGGCTGGATTGACCGTCAGCAGAAGACCAAGTGGGACGTCCGTGCACGTATTCTGGATGTGCTCGAGGAGTACGACTATTCACCATACCAGTGTATGCGCACACTTGGCGCCAAAGAGGTAAGTGCGATTCAATGCGACATAGGACTACCGTAGTCGCTAACAAGTTTCTGTCGCAGCTGGGAACTGCCGATGAATGCGCTGTGTACACTGTGACCTCGCAGATCGTCGGAGAGTTGTTCGGCGATGACGCCGTGCGTAACGGCACGCATCCTGAGCCATGGGCGCACAGCGCCGTTCGCCGGCTCATCCAGATCATGTGGAAGACCGAGAGGACGCGAATCAAGCGGGAGATCAATTCTTTGGAGGCCTTTGCGGAGAAGGTGAACGAGAAATGGGAGGGTAAGTCATGTTTTGTGCACGGTGTTGCTGTGCTCACGGCAGCGACAGCTGTGCAGTCGAAGAAGAACTTCAACGTCGCAGTGAAAGCGTACGCGAAGCAGCTTGCTGAGAAGGTCGAACTTGGGAAGAAGATCGACAACCCGCTCGTAACCCCCAACTGGAAAGGTCACATCGAGAAGGTGGAAAGGATTTGCGAGCAACTTGCTGATCGGTCGCAGGCAGTGAAAGGTATGCAATTTATGCGATTGCGCTCGTCGCATAGCTCACATTGTTTGCAGGCCTTCCGAAGACTGTCATCGAAGCCATTCAGCAGCTCGCGACCGAGGAAGAAGTGCAAGAGTTGCAGCTGAGCATCTCGCAGCT